ACCATTACTAAAAATATAAAAATGGTTTCCAGACAATAACTTGACTTAGGAATGAGGTACTGTAATCAAACTTGGTGTATAGCAAGCTTATATGAAGACCTGGGTTGGTATTGCATTTGGACCCTCTAGGGTCAAGGTCAAGGTCACTGTTACTAAAAATAGAAAAATGGTTTCCAGACAATAACTAGAGTTAGAAATGAGATATTGTTATCAAACTTGGCGTATATCAAGCTTACATGAAAACCTGGGTTGGTATTGCATTTGGGCCCCTGGGGTCAAGGTCAAGGTCACTGTAAGGAAAAATAGAAAAATGGTTTTCGGACAATAACTAGAGTTAGGAATGAGATATTGTAATCTAATTTGGTGTAAAGGAAGCTTATATGATGACCTGGGTTGGTATTGCATTTGGACCCCCTAGGGTCAAGGTCACCGTTAACAGAGTTACTAAAAATAGAAAAATGGTTTCTGGACAATAACTAGAGTTAGGAATGAAATATTGTTATCAAACTTGGTGTATAGCAAGCTTATTTTGAGACCCCAGTTGGGATTACAATTAATTGAAATATTTCTTTGTACACAGTTGATAGTATGTGTTCAAATTTTTCTTCAGACTACGTTTTTTTCAAAAAGTCAAAGTTGCTGGTGGGGGTATTAATCACCTTCAGTGATAGGTCTAGTTTTGATCAGATTTTTGTTATATTTATTGGTTGTATATTAAATAATTTTTTATTAAAATAACATTAATTTTCAAGGTCACCTACAACTTTAGAATTATATTGATGATTATTGTTTTTATAATAATTTGCATTTTATGCTTTATTGTAAACAGAAAATGCTTCTTTTTTCAAATGCATTGCATTGAAGTCAAACATAACAATTACTCTTAAACTTCTGTATAAATATAGATATTTTCCAAAGATGGTTATAAACTTTGTCTTGTTCCTTTAAATGTTTCAAAATTCAAAATTTCATGTTAAATATTGAATTCTGCTGAAGCTAGTGCTAGGGGGCGCTTGCACTTTCCAGTACCATCCATGAACAGGCTCAAGCAAACATTTTTAATTTTACTGTTTTTTGGGCTCTTTAGGGATTCTATTTCAGTCTATTTTTTATTACTCTGTGAAGCAGTTTTGAAGTCTGCCTTGTTATCTGTTTTGCATGGGGGTAACTCCCTGTTCTCATAAGGAACAACCTGTTCTGAGTGGTAAACACATCAGACTAGTAATCTAATGATCTCTAGCCACATGGGTCAGAGGCAAGTCATTGTTTCCTTGAGCCAGAAACTTTTACACTCATTGCTCTGTACTGGTTGGTTCCAGGGATGGATTCGGAAGTGTGTCTATAAGCTTATAGCTTCCTACACAATTGAACTAAAATAAATTCTGTATAAACCAACAACCTGTTTTTGGAGAGAAGTTCATCTTAGAAATAAGATACAGTGGATCAATACAATACACTCAATATTGGCTATCAGGAGAATATCTTCAGTTTGAGAAATTATTACAGCTAATACACCAGCAATGCTCCCATAGAATATTTAACACAAACTTACTGAGATTATGTCTTTTTGGCAATAGAGTGTATATTCAATTTAATTTAATTTATTGCATATAACAATACATGGTAAAACATATTTGTAGCAAGTAATATATGAAATACAATGGAAAGATACACTGATTTCATAAAGTATTATGGTAATACATGTACATTGTATATAAAGCTGTCATATTTGTTACATAAATACAAAAGAGACTTCAAAAGCTCATTGCTTTAATAGATTTTTGCTTAAACATGAGACTAAAATGTGTATAATTTACATGTAGTAAGCTCATTTATTTAAAACCTTTGAATGTAATCAATAATGCCACCAGCATTGGGTTACGTCAGTCTGACCATGCTAACTCCATTCTACCCAAGTTGAGTATTTTGTTGCTGAAATACCTTTTATACTGGTAGCCTAAGAAATTGTGCAGGGCTCTTTATTATATTTACGATGGTCGCCATATGTTATATCAGTTTGTAAAATTGGTAGGTCTTGCAGTGGAAATATTGAGACTAACCTACTGGCAGCAGCAACTGCATGTAAACGAGTGTAGTGAAAATTTCTCTTAAAATGAAAAATAGGATTGTCCAGAATGAAAGATGGACAACTGATTATATATGAGCCGCGTCACGAAAAACCAACATAGTGCGTTTGAGACCAGCATGGATCCAGACCAGCCTGCACATCAGCGCAGTCTGATCAGGATCCATGCTGTTCGCTATCAGCTTCTCTACTTGTTATAGGGTTTGTAAGCGAACAGCATGGATCCTGATCAGACTGCGCCGATGTGCAGGCTGGTCTGGATCCATGCTGGTCACAAACGCACTATGTTGGTTTTGTCATGACGTGGCTCATATGATATTTTTTGCATGGGCTAAACTACTCTTATGGACTGATCCAAATTCAAAGCAGGCACTGATCCATTATACAAATTTAACTTTGTTGAGGTACAAGATCTATGGTAGAATTAGTCTAGAACTGAGACCAAAAAGTAATTTTTTTACAGCATTCTGGCATCCTGATACTCATGTTTAATGCTTCTGGATTGATAGATTTCTAACATGTTAACGTTTTGTTTTTCTTCTGCCAAGTAAACAGAATAAGAAAGAAATATAACTAAAAATAAAGAATTTAATGTCAAAATAATGTAGTTCCCTCATTAATTGAATTAAAATCAACTTAGTCATACAAAATATTAGATATATGTGTTTCAACAGTAGCATATTATAAAGCATATGTGACAATTGTTATGCATATAAACATTAAGCATGATGCTTGTAATACATGACTGTATCATGACAATATCGTTGTATTGTTTTTATTGACATGACTGATTAATGGTTGCGTGATTTTTCTTCTCACTATTATCTGACCACTGGTAGTCATCTGCATAATATTATACATGTTGTATTAATTGAACATCTTTCATATCAGTTACTCAGAACTTAACTTCCCTAAAGGCATTTTTTAGCTTTCTTTAATGTCACAATAAGAATTACTGTGCTCAAATCATTGCTTGTATTTAATTGGGATTTTTTAAAATATGGGTAAGTTATCATTTATATGTACTGTGAGAAAAAAGGATATTTTTGAGTGTGTAATATGTTTTGTGTTAAGTCAAGCCAACACTGCTAAGGTCATAATTGCAATTTTTTGGGTTAAATAGCGGAAAAAGACCTCAAGTACCCCTAAGGCAGAAGCGGGCCTTTGAGTAGAACAACCAATCATCTGTAAGCTGGCTTGAATGCATCCTCATATGATGAATGATGCCAAAGCCCGATTGGATTTGAACCCATTGAGAAACCTTAACTATTGGGTCATTGAGGCCTACTGAATATAATTATTTAAGGAAATATTTCTGACTTCTTAATTGAAGTTATTTTTCTATATGTTAATATATCCAGTATGCAGACAGCAGTAGGAAAATATGCAAAACTTATTTTTCTTTACTTTTTTGGGAAGTAGGGATTGGGATTGCTTTTTAAGACAAACTGATACAAGGTGTTATGCAGGTGTCTCTTCAGCTACATTGGAAGAGGTCTAAGAACTCTGATGCCTGTCTGTCTATGGATTATTTCAGGCCTGAGATTGTGAAAAGAACCAGACCTAGTCTTGCAGCTCATTGCTTGGCGACTTAACATAAAAGTTAAAAGTCCATTTCGATTTTTAAACCTCCTGCAGTCTTAAAAATTCTGACATTCCAATTATGTCATATGTTGGGTTTACATATTTTTTGAAGTTATTGAATTATTCATGAGATTTTGCCCAATTGATTGTAAAGGAATTTCACATATCACTGTCAGCTGACAATTTGTCCATACATATTTATCTGCATTAATACAAATTTTAGTATTTCAATATTAATGTTATTGTCCTGCATGCATTTGGCCTAAGGATTTATTGGTTAATATAACACCTTTCAATTGGTCATTTGGCATGTATACAATTAACAATGTAAACAAGAGAGCAGACAGTGGTGTTATTCAGTTCTAACTAATAGGGCAACAGTTTGATTCCAATTTTTAATCTAGGATTTCATTGTGACATAAATGGAGCTATTTAAAATCGAGTCATTACTCATTGCCCCATGTGGCGGAGGGGTTGTCTTTAATGGTTGAAGCATAAGAATTGCTGCCACCATTTATCCTTGCTTGATTGTAAAAGGCAACTTATAACTGGAGTGTAATAATAATGCATCTCCTCTTAGCTCCAGCAGGTGAGGTGGCTTTGACCCCTGGTGTTACTTTAAGTTTGTAACACCAGTGCTTTATTCATTATTATGATAAAATGTTTGTTGTCAATATTGTTAATGTGCAATAATTGAAATGTAATTGAATTGAAATTGATTATTATTGGATGTTTTACAGATGAATGTGACAAAAGCTATTTCTTTGATTAGTATTGGTGTTAATTAATTTAAAAAAGGATGACATTGTGCTATCCTCAGCCTGCAGATTTTATAATTATACACAATTGTTAAAAGCAGGCTCATTGTCCAGTAGTAACAACCAGGTTTATTTCCATTAACTTAAGTTTAACAGAGGACTAGATCTTGAAATTAAAACATCATGATCAAAGAATTACTTTGATGCTCTTTTCATATACATTGTAATACCTTTTGAGTGCAAGCTAGTTGTACATTTACATTGAAATTAATCATTAGACATACACAAAGCTCCATCAAAGGAACATCTTGTATGCAAATATCTTTCCTGGAGCCTTTTTACTAATGCACAGTCTTTCCTACTCATGAAAAAGTTTTGTGTTTGCTTGTTATCCAAATATTATATGCTGCATATATTATGTAGATGTACATCTTGTTGATGTTATATTGTGTATTTTAGCCGGTGGCCTAAAATTACATCACAATAAACTTGAAACTTTGTAAAAAAAAATTAATAATAATAATTACAATGTATAATATATCTGACATTAATTTTTTTTTGTGTATTTCCAGGTACTGACACACAGATGCATCCAAATGTGGCTCCTAAACCAAAGTAAGTTGCAATTAAATATTATTTATATAATTATAATAAAATTATTTGGATATTTATAAATCATTACACCCTCCTATGTATACTTTTTATAAACCTGTTTTAAAAAAGAACAGAACATGTAATAGATCTGTTTCTTGCGGGCTACATTCAGTTTTGCCCGAAGCATATCTTTTACATGCATCTTTTACATGCATGCAGGGATTTACATATCAGTTTTACTTAATGCAAATATTCAACACCATGAGATGTTGTGTTGCGTGCAAAAATCAGGGCTCGAGGTCAAAGATCAAGGTCACTCTGAGATGAAAAATAAAACTTATCCAGGAGCATAATGCCTAATATATATATCTAAATGCCTAAAGATATTAGATGAAAATATGAAAAATGTGTGTATGGATAATAAGGTATAAATTTGAATTGGGAATTTATATAAAAAAAATGTTCACATCTAGTCAACCTTATCTTTGTGAGTATATTGCAAGGCCAGGCCAACAGAGATGCTGAAATGTCTAGGTTTTGTTCAAAGCATTTCTTTCACATTAAATGATAGATTTTAGTATTACTTTATACAAATGTTAAAATGTTAACCATCATAAAACTTAGGGCTGTGCAAATGAAGCAGATCTGTAGGTCAAAGGACAATGTCATACTTAGAGGTCAGCAAGAATACTTGTCTGCATGCTTTGTGAGATTGTGAGGCAGACTTCAGGTCAGAAGACCAAGATCAGATTAGTCAAAATATATTGACCTGCCAAAACTATATTCTGATATATTTTTTGTTCTGGGTCAGAATCTCGCTTCTAGAGGCGAGATATTGACACAACGAAAATAGCACAATATCTTTGTTGCTCAGTACAATTTGTTGGACTTATGATCAGATAAGAAAACAAAAATGCAAGAATTGATCATTTAGTCATCATGAGTTGTGGGATTTTAAGATCAATGTTCATTTCTTGGAGATACCAAGCATTTGTAATGAGAATATTTTATGACAAATTGCCGATCTTTGTAATTTTAGGTTTGAATTTTTAAAAACTTGTATATGTATGAAAACATGCTATTATTTGGTACACGTTTTTATTCCATGTTTAAGATTGATTAACCTTTACTTAGCAAAATTTGTGTAATTGACATGCCTATTTTGAATTTTTTTTTAAGCACCTATTTGATATCAAAGTACTGAAATTAATTAAGCAACAAGTTAAGTGTCTACTGTAGCATTCATTCAGAGTTATAAGCACATGTTCTTATTTTGAGAAGGTGAGGAATGTATGATGTAGCTTATGATAATCATGTTGATGATTCTTCACATCTGCCAGCCCTGAAATAATACACATAAATAGTATAAACTGAAGAAACCCTCTTCTGAAAATCTGACTGATGCCATATGGCCAAAAAAAAGTGTTTTAGTGGCTTGAAACCCAACAAATCCAACAAATGAATTAATGTCCTCCTTGAAAATCTCTCCATGTCACTTTATTGTTTACCCTGTATGATAATACACACTTATATCCTGTAAATAATATACTAGATGTCATCCTCGACTGTGAGTAAGTAATTTAACAATTTAGTATGAATATTCCATTATCTTGTGATTATGTAGGGAATAGAACCCATTTGACACAATACAAGCTGTCTCAATATGATGGCAATATATGCTATAATGTGTTGGTGCATTAATCCTGAAAGTTATCCTAAAATAAATCATAGAGGAGAACTTCAACATTAACCCTTAAAAAGCTTGATGTTATAGACTTGTCGATCTTTTTATTTGGACAAAACCATTTATAATTTTTGATTAATTTCAATATATGTACACTTTTTAATTTAAGCAAAAACATTCATATTTTTTTTGTAAATTTTTAATACATGTATATGTATTGTCTGAATGGTGACCATTGCAGATCATAATCAGATGGGCTCATCTTGGTCTTTACTGGTTGTATGGGTAAATTTATTCACTACATGCTGGCTAAGAGTTAATGTTGGGAAGTAATGCTCTACAAGTGATGGTGTTAAAAATGGGATTTAACTCAATACAGGATTGGAGCTGTACCTCTAGACGCTTGCAGAAATCATGATCACAAAATAGACAAATATCGTTTTTTTCGCCGATTTTTACATTTTTCATTCATTATCATACATAAATCGGTGTGAAAAGATGAATTAGACCTATTTCAGTTCATTCCGTTGGGTAAAAAGGCAAGATTTTAGCATTTTATGATTCAAGCGCCTTGCCCGGTATGTACCGGAATACGGTATTTAGTGTGGTGCTCCAATCCTTTTTTTAGTCTCACTCTTAAAAATGTACTCAGGATAAAATAACCACTCAATTTTGTGTTTGGGAGGATTCTTTTAGTAACATTTAAGCCAAAATATTGCAATAAATACACAATTATAAGTGCATTTAGTAATAATAGAAAAGTACACTGTAGATAACTAGATATACAAAGTATGCTTGGTGTGTCTGGTATATTTCAAAGTCTTAAAAGGATTTATCTGAATCTTTAAAGGCAAAAAAAAATGTTTCTGGGGAAGAGAAATAAATTTCTTCTTAGATGTTGCTTTTCAGACTTTCCTGAAAACAAATTTGAAATTGTTTATTTAAGTTTTAGATAAACTGAGCTTCAATTGGTAGCCCGCAGTCACAGAATATTCATGAAATTGTTCCACTCTTATTGATTACAGAAACAAGTCATAAAATGTACAGAACATGTCCTCACCTTAGTGCAGTAACTGGTTAAATCCTTATATAATTTGATAGGAGTTAACTCATTTCTGCACAAAGGTGACGATTTGAGGTTATATAGCAGGGATAAACTTACGAAGAAAAAAAAATTAAGATGCAAAGAATTTCAAAATTAGATTAATTATTTGATTTTTGTGAATTACAGTATTTTAGATCTTAGTTTGCTTCAGGCTGGTAATAAACAGGTTTTTCCATTATCATTGTCAAGACAATACAAGTGTGATCAAAACTGCATTTCATGGAAATTTGAATTGCACAACATGTAAATTAAAGTGATTTCTGTATAGAATTGAACAGTTACTGATCACATATTTCTGTTGTAGTATTAAACAGTTATCAGTGTAAAATGATCACCTTGGATAAAATAAAATTTCTTTTCTTCTTTCAGATATGACTATTCATTTATTGATTGAGATTTAAGATTTGTTTAAAGAATGTAACTTGTATACATGTAGAGGCTAATAGTCGTGGGTCAAGGTCTATTTAACAGAGTTTTTTTCTCTACTGTTCAACAAAATTTATAATTGACAAACATTGTTTTGGCAAAACTTTTGCTTATTCTGATATTATTTTTGTGTAACAAATTGCTGAAAAGCTTCTTTTAATGCTGCATGCCTCCAGATGACCCAAAATATTTCAAGAAAATTAAACTTGGAAAAAACATACAAAAACTTTGAGAAAAGTGATCAAATTAAAGATTCAAGTGATAATTTATATCTTATGTGCAATTAATGACTGTATTTTGTCGTATTTATCACCATATTTCTACTGCGTTACTAACGCAGTAGGGGCTATTTATGCATATTTTGACCTCTTTTTGGTAATTTACGTGGATTTTAAGTGCCGATTGTAATGTGTCAAGTACTGTCTTTGTTCATTTCACAATATTTTACCTTTAAATACATTTTCAAAATTTTCATGAAAATTAGGATGAATCTGGAGGCGTGCTGCTTTAAATAGTAACGGAAGCCCAGGTTCTAGTAGGACAAGTTTTGAGAAATACATTTGTACAGTGATGTGTTAGCAGATCTATGGGTTAAGTTTATATTTGCATTTTTTTCCATCTTTTTAGCTCACCTGAGCTTGCTCAGGGTGAGCTCTTAGGATCGGTGAATGTCCGTCATCCGTCGTCCGTCCGTCCGTCGTCCGTCGTACGTCCACAATTGCTTGTGAACACTCTAGCGGTCACATTTTTGCCTCAATCATCATCAAACTTGGTCAGGATGCTTATCTAGTTGAAAGCTCGGATGAGTTCGAACATGGCGCATCTCGGATTAAAAACTAGGTCACAAGAGCTAAAAATAGAAAAACCTTGTGAACACTCTAGAGGTCACATTTTTGACCCAATCATCATCAAACTTGGTCAGGATGTTTGTCTAGGTGATAGCTCGGATGAGTTCGAACATGGGTCATCTCGGATGAAAAAGTAGGTCACAGGAGCTAAAAATAGAAAAACCTTGTGAACACTCTAGTGGTCACATTTTTGAACCAATCATCATCAAACTTGGTCAGAATGCTTGTCTAGTCAATTGCTTGGATGAGTTCGAACATGGGTCATCTCTGATGAAAAACTAGGTCACAGGAGCTAAAAATAGAAAAACCTTGTTAACACTCTAGTTGCTACTGTTTTGATCCAAGTATCCTGGAAATTGGTCTGAAAGTTTGTTTTGATGATTTCTAGGTCAAGTTTGAATATGTGTCACCTGGGTAAAAAACTAGGTCGCACTGCTCAAATATGGATAATCCTTGTTAACACTGTAGTGGTCACATTTTTGACTCACCTGTCATGAGACTTGGTCAGAATGCTTGTCTAGGTAATTGTTTGGATGAGTTTGATAATTCAGGTGAGCGATCTAGGGCCATCATGGCCCTCTTGTTTAACTTCACATACAATTCCCTGATGTTAATATCATACTTGCATGGCATATTTTTGGAATATTTTCTGAGACATTATTTATAATTTAATACTTAAAACTGAAATTCTTTTGCATATGTTGTAGTAGTTGAACAATAAACACATTGTCCCTTATGATTGCCAGGGGAGACCAAAAAACCACATTTCTTATCTTTTAATGTTTTATTATAACAATTGATGCATTATCATAGAGGGCGCCTGAAACCTTACAGAACAATAGTGCATTATAGTGTACAAAACGGCTGAATCCTATCAAAAATATATAATCAATGCTGCACTGCCTTAACTCAATGAGACAAAAAGAATAAGTTAGTGCCATTTTGCAATGAACTGTAAATTAATGAAGTTTGTTTTATCATTTTACAGATGGTTTTAAGCTGCTATACCTTCAAGCAATTTCTATTATATTTGTATAGGGATGAAAATTCCAAAATAAAATATTTATGAATATGGTGTCAAGTGTAGTCTGGCAGGAAGTTATAACAGAGCTTTACTGGAAATTTTGTTCTGTAGGAGGTATTAATATTGTAAATGACTCATTATCTATTCAAAGCCAATTTCCTGAGGGAGTGAATTTTCTGTATAACAGAATTATATTGCAGAATAAAAGATAGTTCCCGAATTTTACAGTATTTACCTCCCTTGTCAAAATTCACTGCCATTTTAGGGGTCAATATTCTCAAAAGTATAATTGACAAAGATGAAAATAAAAGAAAAATAATATAAACATCTCAAGTCAAATCAATATTTATTTATTGTCAGAAAGTGTGTAACAGTATAAAGTAAGCTTCCAACATGTGCAGCAAAATATTATTATAACACCAATATGTAATAGATTTTTGTCAGTTTTTATGAAGATGATTGGATTATGATGGATTTTTATCTAATGCTATGTGAAAAGCATCTATTGTCCAGAAGGTTTTTAAATCAATGAGTCTGTAATGAAATAACCTGTTAAATTTTAAAGTTTTCATTTTGCTGCTGTTACTGATTTTGTGTATTGAACAATTCTGGTTTTGCTTAGTGGTTAAGGTGTCTGCCTATCAACCCAGGGATTATGGGTTCGATTGATATAAGTTGCAAGAACTTGTTTTGCAATCCAGCTAAAATAAAAATGTTTGAAAACTAAACCATTCTGGTTTTGAATTGCCCTATACATGTATAGATTAAAACCATTTCAAAGTGGAAGAAAATATAAAGCGATTACACCATGGAACAAAAAGATTAAGTATATGAACCACTCATCACTTTTTATATGCCCGAAAGGGCATATTATGTTATACCCCAGGCGTCCGTCTGTCTGTCCGTCCGTCCGTTAGCAATTTGGTTTCCGGAGCATAACTTAAGTTCCATTTGGCCCACAATGTTCAAACTTCATAGGATGATTGTCCATATTGGGTAGAAGACCCCTATTGATTTTAGGGTCAAAAGGTCAAAGGTCAAGGTCACTATTACCTTAAAACTGAAAGCAGTTTCTGGAGCATAATTAAAGTTCCAATTGGCCCACAATATTCAAACTTCTTAGGATGATTGTCCATATAAGGTAGAAGACTCCTATTGATTTTGGGGTCACAAGGTCAAAGGTTAAGGTCATTATTAATCAACCTACAGCTGTGAAATTTTATAGGATGAACAGCTCATTCCCATGTCTTACAAATGCTTCATCCTTACTAAAAAATAAAACACTTTCGGGCATATAATGCTCCGCCTAGCGGTGCTCTTGTTATTTTTTGGGTCATTTTGCACAATGAAATTATCATTCAGGAGAAAGGGAGTGAAAGAATTATATAAAAAGTCATTGGTCTATACTTACTTTAAATGGTACACATAAATCTTGAAAAATATTTCCTGTCACTTCCTAGTAAAAAAAACATCAATGATCCAGTCCCTTTAAAATAGACTTTGGATCCAAGAGGCTTTAAAAGAGAAATTTTCTTGAGAAAATATGTCTTAAAATATAATCTACATGAGTTATTACCAGCATGGGCGGTATCTGAGTACTGTAATTTATTTCATCAGTTTACATCTAACAAGGCTTATCATATTGTAATGGGGCTTATCATACATAAAGATAACAGGGGGAGATATGCTTTATCATCTGCACAGAGCTTCATTCATGAATTATGCTAGATATGCCGCCATTTAAGCTTGATGGTGTTTAAATTGGATGGTTTATTCCCATTTAATAAGACCTACTGGGATAAAAGGAGAAAATAATAAATTAAATCAGACTGGGACTTCCCCTACTTGTAGTTTATTTTCAAAACTGTTTTTATACATCCGAAAGAATGTTGGGTATATTGTTTGAGAATTCATTTACATTGTCATTTTGATTCAGGTATTTAAACATTGCAAGATGCTTAGATGTTAATCATATACCGTACATATTTCTAAGTTTATTATGTACTAGTTGTTGATCAAATTCAGACCTAAATGTAATATACCAAATGATTCATCTTGGGAAATGGAAATCAAAAGATTGATCACAGATGCTAGTTTGATTCCCAAAAGGAGAGAATTATTTTATGTGAAGAAGCCAAGAAACCTTCTTTCACCAGAAAACTAGAAGCAGTCACTAAGACATGCCAAGTTATAAATGTAATAATTTAAAAATTATGTGATTGGGCCAGTAGAACTTCTGTAGATGGTAATTGGAGGAGCATTTTGTATTCTTATTGATTTGCAAAGTACTCTGTTTAATGGAAAGATAAAAAAAATATTTTCTGTTTGTTGAAAAATATTTTTTTTTTTCAGGCCACCTCCGCAGACTATGAAACCTAAACCCTCATTACCAAAGAAACCAGCAGTTGCCTCAAAACCTACTTCTAAGATTTTGGAGAAAAATCTCTCACAAAATGGTAAGTTACAAATGTTTGTTTTGTTTTGTCAGACACTGAAACTATTGATTTTCAGTGCATACAGGAGACTTTTATCTTCTAGACTTTTATTTTTTATTTAAAATCTTCAGAAAATTGTTCAACTTCTAGTTAAGTATTGAGCCTAAATGCTCAGAGATGAGCTTTTGTGATGGCTGTGTGTTCATTGTCAGTGGTCGTCTGAGTCTTCTGTCATTGGTCCACCTTTGTTTTCCACAGTTTCTTTAAACAACATCTCCTAATCTACTTTAAGGATTTTGACCAAACTTAATTGGAATGATCTTTAGGTGGTTATGAAAGTTAAATAAATGGTTACAGTCTGATTTATAAGTAGGGCACAGGAGTAGGGGTGTCACTTTTATCCATTTAAACGGGTATGGTTGATTTCCAGCTAAAAAACTGTTAGAAAATTCAATTACCCGTAACCAAGGTTAGTATTTAACTAAGTTTGTTTTGTTTGTTTGTTTCATTTTACGCCTTTTCCCAACAGTATTTCAGTCATATAGGCGGTTAGTTTCCTAACCATCATTCCTGGAGAGTTACACCAGTACTAGACTACCTTCCTCTGTGCTAAACTACCAAAGCATCTCCTCGGGATCGAACCCACGCCAGAGAGGTAACTTGATTAGAAGTCATCAACTCTAACCCCTAGACCACGGAGGCGGGTTGGAACAGTTTTAAATTGATTATGAATATAACCTTATTTTTATGACTAGATGTGACAATTGTTTGTATTTTAGTTGTACTCAACAATGAATTATTTTCAATCTGATCGAAAATGGTACGACCTTAGTGGAAAATAGATACTCCATATTCATTTTGAGTACAACAAAATATGAACAAAATGGCATATCTTGTCATAAAGAAGTTAATGTTGAAAATCTAAGGATTTTATATTTACAGTCGGTTAAACATTTAACACAGTTATTACGTCACCGTTTAAACGGTTAGCATTTTTTCTAACCGTGACATCCCTACACAGGAGATAGAATGTAGACTTTGAAATGTCTTATCAAAAACTACAATGCCCAGAGTTTTGATATTTAACATGTAGCATCACCTTGTGATCCTCAAAAGTTTTACAAATCATGTCCATGTAAAAAACGCTGAAAAAAATTTCTTCTCTGTAATTGTAATGCCAAGAGCCTTGTTACATTACCTTGTAGTCTTCTACAAATTTGTATAAATCATGCCCCTTGGGTCAAAATTAGCACAGCCCTTGGGTCACTTATTTTATATAGACTTGTATAGGAAAATACTTTTAATTCTTCTTTTGTGAAACTACATTGTCAAAAACTTAGATATTTAGCATGTAGCATTGCCCAGTGGACCTCAACAAAAGTTATATAAGTAATGCCCTTGGGGTCAAAATGGTCCTGCCCTGGGGGTCACTTATTTTACATAATCTTGTAAAGTAAAAATATCTCACTTATTTAACAGTTTATCAGTGTGAAAAAAGACAAACCTAAAGTGAACTCATTACTTGCTTAAATCTATTCTAGCAATGTATCTCAGGTGAGCTAACCAGGGACATCATGGCCATCTTGTTGTTTTTTTTTAAATAGATAATTAAGATGAGTATGACAAATGTGCTTGTAACTAATTTTCTAGATTTTATGTTTTAATAGTTCATTAATGGAACAAGTTGTTATAGGAGAATAGAATGTAGATTTCATCAATATATGTTTTTTCTTTATTTATCTGTTGTTAGCTTACCAGAACCGAAGGTTCAGTGTGAGCTGTTAGTATCAAATGGGGATACTCTGGTGTCCATTGTCATATGTCAACAATCATCTTCTTCTCTGAAACTGATGGGCAGATATACCTCAAATTTGGTCTGTGGCATCCTTTTGACAGTCACGCTTAAATTTGCTCATGTCATTTCAATTGGCCCCTTTTCGGGGTCAACAGAGCTAAAAATAGAAAAACCTTTATACATCTACTACAAAATTAAATGATGTATGATCACCAAAATTTGTCTGTAGCATTCTTAGATTGTTTTGTATCAAATTTGCTCATTTTAATTTTATTGGCCCCTTTTAGGGGCCCATGGCCTCTAAAGCTAAAAATAGATAAACCTTTGAACATCATCTCCAACTGAAATTATTGATGGATGATCATCAAACTTTTATCAAGTTTGCTCATATTAATTTGATTGTCCCCTTTTAGGTGCTGCTAATGCTAAAGGTAGAAAAACCTTTGAACAACATCTACTGAAATAATTGATGGTTGGTCACTAAATTTTGTCTGTAGCATTCTTAGGTAGTGTTTCATCAAGTTTGCTCATATTAATTTGATTTTAGGGGCCGCTTAAGCCCTAAAAATAAAAAAATTTGAACATCATCTTTTACTGAAATAATTGATGGATGATCACCAAACTTTGTCTGTAGCATTCTTAGGTAGTGTTTTATCAAGTTTGCTCATACTAATTTGACTGGCTCCTTTTAGGGGGACTTTAAAGCTAAAAATAGAAATTTCTTTAAAGGTCTGCTTCTACAGAACTAATTGATGGATGATCACCAAACTTTGTCATGAAAAGCAGTTGTTTCTGGTGAGCGACTCAGGGCCATCATGGCCGTCTTGTTTATTTAACCTCCTAGATATGCACTTCAACACAGTATAATTGCACAATCTTATTTTAAGAACTCTCTTTGTTTTGCTTTCTTTGCTTTCTATTACAAAACACAATATTATCCCATGTAATGTTTCAGGGTCAGACATATCAGAATCACAAACCCATAAACCAGATGTCCCAGAGAAAGTTGCATCTGCAGACCAATCTTCCCCTTCACAGAAGGCAGCTGCCCTACGGCCCAAAGAACCACCACCACCTTTACCTAAAACAGCACCTAAAGGATCAGTTGTACACAAAACTCCACCCACCATTCACAAGACTCCACCTCCAGATCGCAAAACTTCAAACCCAGTTCACAAAACCCCTCCTCCCTTACCTAAAACCACTCCACGATCATCAGTTAAACTTAAAGAGGGTTCACCTGATTTAAAAAAGAAGAATGACAAATCAAGATCATCTAACATTGGAACAAATTCTGATGCTGTTGAAAATATTCAAATTAACAATGCTGAAATAGTTTCTGGAGAAGAATCTAAACATGAAAAAGAGGATTTTACTTTTAGTAATTTGAAATCAAAATTTATTAACTCAAGTGAAAATATTGCAAAAGTTGCTCCTAAAGTTGCAACAAAGCCAAAACCTGTACCTAAAGGTAAACAAAAAGCTATTTCAGATACTAAAAGTGTAAACCAGACTGAAGATGAAAAACCTGTAAACAAGAATGGGTTAAATATAAAATCAGGAAACAGTAAATCAAAATGGTTTGTTAGTGATAGTTCTGCAGATAATGAAAATGATTTGCATCAAACAGCTGAAAACAGTGAATCAGCAATACAGTTCTTGAAAGGTAACAAAAGTTTTTCAGATTCAACTGTTTGGTTTAATAAGTCAGATGAATCTCCCAAACACTCTCCAAAACATTCCCCAGTTGTACCTCGTAAACCTCCACCTAGGACACCACCAAAACCAAGTTTATCACATTCTAAAGAGGATATAAGCATTTCAAATGAAAATTTCAGTTCTTCCAGTGATAATAGTCCAATAAAACAGCAAGAAAAACTTTTTGATACAAGGGGAAGTTCTACCCCACCAAAACTAAATTTAACACATTCTAGAGAGGATATAAGCAATGCCAATGAAATTTTTAGCTCTTCTTGTGACAATAGTCCAATAAAACAGCAAGAAAAACTTGTTGATACTAGAGGAAAATCTACCCCACCAAAACCAAATTTAACACATTCTAGAGAGGATATAAGCAATGCCATTGAAAGTTTTAGCTCTTCTGGTGATAAAAGTCCAATAAAACAGCAAGATTCAAGGGGGAAAGGAAATACTGAAGACAAATGTACATTCCAAAAACAATCTGAAGTTGATGTAGATAATGAGGATAATGACAAATGTGTACTAGGCTCTGAAGAAAATACAAAACCTGAGATTCAGAATATACAAAACATAGAATCTTCGGAAGATAAACCAAAGTGTAAAGGGAGTCCAAAACCTCCTCCGAAACCTGTACCTAGGAGACCAACCCCATCTGTAAGGCCAAGGCCAACTCCTAGAAAAAGATTGTCTATAAATAGACTGTCTGGGTCAGATGAAACATTTGGAACGGATTCTGAAAATAGTGAAAAGTATTCTGATGGAAATAGAATTACAGATGATGAGATAACAGACAAAAATGAGCTTGAGATTAATGAAGGTATAAAAAATAATAGTGATATTAAAAAAGACCATCTTGGCCAAGATAAAGAAAATAATGTTAATGTTGATCTTAGTGACAGAAATGATTCTGATGTGACACTGAGGCGCTTTGTTGATGATTCTGGTGAAGAGCAGCACTACAGGGCAATAGATAAAAGAAAGACAAAATCTCATATCACAGAACTTGAAAATGAAACAGATGAAAATACAGTTATTCTGAGAGAGAAAATTACGCGGGAGGAAAGTATAAGTGAAGAAATTACAATGGAACAACTTAAAAGCATTGAACATTTATTGGAAGCTTCTGATGATGAAGATGATACTCATAAATTTGTGCCAAAAGTTGACTTGCCTGTTACTGATTTAGGGCAGAAGAAAACTGAAAAACTTGAAGTGATGGATGGAAAAAATAAAAGACAGGCTTATGAAGTTGCATCAGACGATTCAGATGAACTAGATGACAAAGCTCTTCTAGAGCCATCATCTTTGTTGAATGAAATTGAAGACATTCTTACAAGGAGTTTTAAACATTCATCTTTGACAAGGTCAGGGTCATCACCAGAGAAAAAATCTTCACCATACCTACAAACTGACAGTGAAGCACTCGGTAGAACAGAAAGATCAATGTCAGTTGATGCTGACACACCGATGAGGCCACCAAGGCCTAAAAAGGAGCAGAAAAAAATGCGATCCATGAGTCAAGTTACTAGTATGTATGATTCTTGTGGAAGTGACACTGAATCATTACCAGATATGTCTAGAAATAGAGATTTGTCCTTTTGTTCAAATGATGCAAATGTTTCATTAACACTTGGAAAAGCAAAGCCTCATCCACCTAAACCTAAAAGAAACAAATTATTGAAAGTTCAAAGAAGTCAGTCTGATATTACAGCAATGAAGTCAGTAGTAGATTCAAAATCACCAAATAGAGAACGAATGGTGTCAGAAAAGCATAATACCAAAAACAAAAATGATTCACCAAAGAAAGGAGATGGATCACCTAGACAAGTTTCATGGAGGAAGAATCGTCCAACTCGTAAGGCACCCCCACCTCCTCAAAAAGTACCACCTCTAAAAGTAACACCGGCTTCACCTGGGATTACATTGGATTCTGTCGTTCCTCTTGATTCTAGAGTGAAATCTATGCAAATTACAAAAACCTCTAATAGTGCAAAAGATAAAACAGCATTCCATAATTCAGTAGGACCATTCTACCACTCAATAGATGATGGGGAAGTAGGATTATCTGACGGGGAACATGATTATCAAGATATTCCAGATGATAATGATAAAAACAGTAACATTAAGTATGGAGAAATGGTAAAAGGGAACATGAGCCAACGTGAAAAATCAGCATCTCCTCCAAAACTACCTCCAAGGAACTTGAGTAACTCTCATTCTTTTGATAATTCAAGTATGTCATCTGCTGGACATGAATTTGATAGTGCAATAACTGGAGGAGCAAGCTCAACTGAGGACATGTCTATTTCAAGCGGATGTTTTGAACAAGATGTTACTTCACCTGGATTTAAAAATCATCACATCATGAAATCATTATACCCTAAAACTTCAAGCCCTTGTGTTAAAAATAGACAGCATACAGGAAGTGATGAAAATATGCTTTCCTCTGGACTGGGTCCAAGTAATTCCTCTCTTTCTGATAGCACAGAAGATAAGAAAAGACGACCAGTCAGTGGATGTAGTATACAGTCTGACAGTTGGTCTGGAAGTCATGAAGCAGAACAGTCATCTTCAGATTCTGACTTAGATGATGAGGAAAAGGTAAATAATCACTTTTTTTTATAAAGTATTAAACCATCAATGAGATTTTCACTTTGAAAAGTATACTGTGAATGACATAATGACTGTTTGAAGGGACTTAACCTGTTACAATTGTTGTGTTTTGTCATGCAATATTTATTCCCCTTTAATCTTTATGTTCAATATCCATGTTAAATTAAGGAAATTTATGTGTGACTTGTTGTTTTACACAAGCAATTGTTTTTGAACTTATTTGTAGTATCATTTTAAAATGTTTAGTAATAATGATTAATTGTTTTTGATGAGAATAAATCAGTTTTGCTCTGTAATTGGTTTAACCCATTACTTCATAAGCATTTTGTGAAAAATTGCTGTTTTCATTGAAAAGTCTCCCGTTACAAGTTCAAATTGCTATAATACTATAAAAACTGCTTCAACACTAATCAAACTTGGCACAAATGTTGACTGGACCATTGCCCTTGCAACAACATGCTCAGGCTTAAATTTTCTGTTGCCATGGCAACGAGGGGACATCTCAAAATTGCCAAAAATCACTATTTTGCGTTGATTTTTTCCATCAAAATTGATTTCAAACTGCTGCAACTTCTCAATGGATTGAGATAGAGTCAAATGCTTTTCAGCGTTGGTTACACGTTACCTTATGATCAATCTGGGGTCATTTATAGCCTCTCACAAGTCCAAAATTTTCTTGGCGATGAGGGGGACTCCGCCCCCCTTCAAACCCCCCCAAACAGAAGGGGGCACATCCCCCTTCTGGCAACCCCCTGATGTACTTTTTGGTTGGGGGGCCGCGCCGAAAAAGAGGTCACTTTTTTTAACAACATTTCTCAAACAAAAACAAGTGTTTGGGGCCTAAATAAGGCATTTTTTCATCATTTGAGACAACAAAAAGGGGGGGGGGTGAAAAAGGCGTTAAAAGGCGTGTATATGAAGTAATGGGTTAATAGTAATATCAGAATGGGAATATCAAACGGTATTATCTTTGGACCCATGTGCTACAGCACCTAATGATTGTAGGTTTTTAGGCTGTATAAAGGTGAAGAACAATAAATTCATTTTCAATACAGCAGAAAAATTGGTCATAACAAAAGTAATGGCTGAAAACTAGTCTTCTAATGAATCTTAGCATAAATGTATATACATATATGCCCCGTAAATCTCACAATATGGCAACAAAGTCAAATTTTGGGTTTTGAATTGTGTCAGTTTATTACTTACAAAATGTTTTTCATGTTTTTTTTTGTTTTTAAGCCCCCACAGAGTGGGAGCATATAGCGTTGCACTTGTCCGTCCGAGTGTCCGACCGTCACGCCGTACGTCCGTCCGTCTGTCCGTACGTCCCGAAATCTTGTGAACGCAACTCCTCTCAAACCGGATGGCAGATTTTGCTTAAACTTCCAGTGATGAACAACCTTAATGTGTAGATGGTAGTAAAGGAAGGAATTTTTGCTGCGACCAAATTTAACAGAATTATGGCCCTTTGTTGATTTTTTCACTATATACTATGTAGAAATTTTGTGAACGCAACTCATCTTAAACCGGATGGCAGATTTTGCTTAAACTTCCAGGGATGAACAACCTTAATGTGTAGATGGTAGTAAAGGAAGGAATTTTTGCTGTGACCAAATTTAACAGAATCATGGCCCTTTGTTGATTTTTAACCAGGTTTTCCGAAGGAAAAAACTGGTTATTAGATTGAGGTATGTCGGCGGGCGGGCGGGCGGATAGGCGGACGGGCAGGCGTAAACAATTTCTTCTGTGCGCAACTCCTCCTACATTTCTCAACGGATTTTGACCAAACTTTCACAGAAGCTTTGTCATCAAGTGCCCTGGCGCATATTGTCGGGTTTTGCGATTAGATAATATTTGACCTAATTATGGCCCTTTGTTTTTTTTCCTTATATAAAATATATAGTGAACAATTTCTTCTGTGCGCAACTCCTCCTACATTTCTCAACGGATTTTGACCAAACTTTCTCAGAAGCTTTGTCATCAAGTGCCCTGACACATATTGCCAGGGTTTTGCGATTGGTATATATTTGACCTAATTATGGCCCTTTGTTTTTTTTCCTTATATAGAATATATAGTGAACAATTTCTTCTGTGCGCAACTCCTCCTACATTTCTCAACGGATTTTTGACCAAACTTTCACAGAAGCTTTGTCATCAAGTGCCCTGGCGCATATTGTCGGGTTTTGCGATTAGATAATATTTGACCTAATTATGGCCCTTTGTTTTTTTTCCTTATATAAAATATATAGTGAACAATTTCTTCTGTGCGCAACTCCTCCTACATTTCTCAACGGATTTTGACCAAACTTTCTCAGAAGCTTTGTCATCAAGTGCCCTGACACATATTGCCAGGGTTTTGCGATTGGTATATATTTGACCTAATTATGGCCCTTTGTTTTTTTTCCTTATATAGAATATATAGTGAACAATTTCTTCTGTGCGCAACTCCTCCTACATTTCTCAACGGATTTTGACCAAACTTTCTTAGAAGCTTTGTTATCAAGTGCCTGGCACATATTGTCGGGGTTTTGTGATTGGATAATATTTGACCGAATAATGGCCCTTTGTATATTTTTTCCTTATACAGAATATATAGAGAACAATTTCTTCTGTGCTCAACTCCTCCTACATTTCTCAACAGATTTTGACCACACTTTCTTAGAAGCTTTGTTATCAAGTGCCTGGCACATATTGTCGGGGTTTTGTGATTGGATAATATTTGACCGAATTATGGCCCTTTGTATATTTTTTCCTTATACAGAATATATAGTGAACAATTTCTACAGTGCGCAACTTCTCCTACATTTCTCAATGGATTTTGACCAAACTTTCACAGAAGCTTTGTCATCAAGTGCCCTGGCGCTCACTAAATTCCCATGTTTCTTCCAAGACATCATTCAAGTATTTTTTTAAAATTGTGAACATACTTTTCTTGATATCGCACAAAACACCACACGCCAATATTGTTGACAAAAGAAAATGACAAGAGACGCAAAAATGTAAAAATTAAGCAAAAATAAAGTACTGTTTACCTTTCTAAAACATTTGGGAAAAAAAGGCGAATAGACAACATAAAATTTCTCAATCATTTTTGTTTGAGGAATATTAAAAAAGCCATAATTCCTCCTAAAAGTTCAATTAAAAACAAATGCCCCTTCATGACAAAGCTTCTGTGAAATATTTTGCTGAAAACCTGGTTGCATCGCATTGCGATGTTCCTTGTTTCACTATATACTATGTAGAAATTTTGTGAACGCAACTCCTCTTAAACCGGATGGCAGATTTTGCTTAAACTTCCAGGGATGAACAACCTTAATGTGTAGATGGTAGTAAAGGAAGGAATTTTTGCTGCGACCAAATTTAACAGAATTATGGCCCTTTGTTGATTTTGATTTTTCAATTTGTGGCACATGTAGTCCAAAAAATATTTGACCTAGAGTCATAAGATTGACAGAACAGTGGCGTGTGGGGGCATCTGTGTCCTATGGACACATTTCTAGTTTGTTTTTTAAATAGACCATTTTAAGACATATTCCTGAACAGGTTGATTAGATGATTATGAAACTCAGTATGACTTAATGTAAATGATATTTGGAACTGATGCTCATCAAATACTTTCAAAATTACTATTATTAAATCATGCCTCTAACTTCAAATAGAAATTTTTAAAAGAAAAACAAAATTTCACATTAAGTGAATGGCTATAAACGATAACTATAAACAGCTGTTTTATTTATATAGACTACTCTGTTCAAATTTATGGGCTTTATAGTGTCCTTTTAAGTCAAGATACCAAATTTATTTTTTCTCGTATTCTGTTGCACATTATAATACTGTCAAGCTTCAATCAAGTTACATGGTGGATATCTATTCAACTAATTTGTTTGTTATTTTTATCAAATCAATGCAATTTATTTCAGATAATTATTTAAACTTTGGACAAAAGGGAAAGCACTCAGTTCTTCTCATCTTTAAATTATAATTTTGTTTACTGTACATGTGTTAATTTGTTGTGTTTGGTAATGATAATATCAATTAATTAACATGGATAAGCATAGATATACATATACATATGATACTTAAAGAGATAGGAATATTCTGATCTTATCTTTAATTGTTTAGACCATAATTAACTTAATTGATTACAAATTTTGTTGATGCTATTAAGTATATACACTTATAGTACATGACATTAATGGTGTTTCGTGAACACTTTTGTAAATATTGATTGTGAAACTCTTAATCATGGATGTACTTGTTGGCTGTATCTAATTGAGGAAGAAAAAAAAAGTTTTGATATTGAAATAAACATGGTAGGAATCATCTCATTATAATAATGATAATAAGGATGACTTTATTTCCTCGAATTTTACTTCTACTTTTTATTTTGTAGAAAAAGAGGGCATTGATTGTAATTTTAAAGAAAGTAAGGATGACTTGTCTTGCTTACTTTCATGACATTTTTTGAACCGCCATGCAAAACAACTCTAGAGTTTATACCTCAGGAGTCATGGCTTCTCCGTACATGTATATATATATAGTGATAATTCTAATAATCTTCTTGTCTGAAAGTGCTAACGCTTAGATATTTGGCATGAAACATCATCTAATGGAGTTCAAATTATGTCCATTGGGTCAAAATTGGCCATGCCCTGTTGGGGGTCATGTGTTTTCTTTGTATGTATTTTAAGTAAAACCTTCAGATATATTCAAGCAAGATTTTCAAATTATTGTTCTGTTTTAAATATTGGCCAGGCCCCAGGGTCATGGTTTTTTCGCTTTATGAACATAGTTAACAATTAAAAAATCTTCTTCTCTACACCATGAGTTATAAGTTATATGATATAGTGTTTAGGTTAGTCTTGACTAGTAGATAACCGCTTTTGATTTTGAGGTCAAAGGTGAAGGTCACAGTGGCCTTGACCATTAAAGCATCTGTAAACATTGTGTTGTCCGGTGTAACAAAATCCTTACTTAAAAGGAGAACAAAATAAAATTACTATTTCAGAAATATTGTTTTGGGTTTCAAAATAACTTTAATATTTACACCAGATCAGTAAAAATATGTGAAATAAGTCCAAACAAGTTACAGAGGCATGCTTATTTGTAAAGCATTATTCGGTATTGCCAAGCAAGATGTAATAATTTTCTGGACAATTTTGAAACATGTCTATATGATTTACAATGTTTCAGTAACAAAATAGTAGTATCAGTTAAACTTAAATTAGACTTACAAGTGTGTGATTAGGTTACGTTTCATCTCATAAGACATAGTGTTAATCCTGACATGACTGAGAATTTATGAAAGTTGTCACAGTAAAAAAAGATAAAAAGATTAAACATTCTATATATGACCCTTGCAAACTGTTAATCCATACAAGTGCCCAATGCCATGTCATTTGGACAATTTATGATATGCAATAAAAGGACATGCTTGCAATAACACTTGAATTTTGCTTGTTTTATCAGCATGATTGTGGAGATAAAGGCCTTTTAAAGGCACCATATTCCTTAGAAACTAATAAATATTTCCTCTTTTTCAGTGAGGTCAAAAACAAGTTTTAGTTTTTTTAATAAGCTATTTTAGAGCATGTTACTAGTTGTTTATCACCTGAAGAAAGGAGTGATGAATGTAAAGTTATTTGTTACAAAAGTAGCAAAATGTAAACGAAGTAGTGTTTTGACTTCCGTACAAAATACTAAATTACTAGGATTATACTCCTTTCAAATGGCACCAGAAGCAAATGATAGTTTAGATAATTGGCCAACTATATAGTACACCAAATATAAAAAGCTTTTGAGAAAGCATTTCTGGGGCATAATGGGCCTTTATATAGAATTTGAAGAGGACCCTGTGTAGACTGAACCAAATTCAACAAAAAAAATAGGGGGGGGGGGTATTAATAAAAAGTTTCTTTTTAAACAATTATTCAAACTGGAATTTCATATTCCAATATTCTGTAGATTTCAAATATTTAAATAATCAATTATTCTTTCCATATCCCTAATATTGTTTATACAAATATGTATCAATGTATATTCTTATATGATGTAAGATTTTGTAAAATACTTCACTTAACAACAAATACAGTTTTAGAAAACTCACTGTGTATTACATTGGACAGACTAAAATAAAGTAATTAGTATAGAATAATTGATTATTTTGATAGTTAAAACCATTTAAATTCCCAACTGAGTCCTATGTGTCATTAAATCTTATAGTTTTACTCTTTTACTAATTGAACTTGATAAGTACTCTGTATGCTGTGCACTAGCATGCATATATTACTCAGATTATATTATATGATTAAATTCCCTTTTACGCAATGTCCACTTCATTTTCAAACTTTCAATTACAACAGTCATCTAACATTTATTAAACCATTAGTAGAAAAACAATATATTAAAATGATTTACGTCATTATTAATTTCTGAATCATTATGTTTAATAATTAGATATACTATTAGGTCATTGATGAAGATTTAAGTAGGGATGTGACTTCATATATAAGTGTTATTTTGAAATGATTAAAATAGTTCATAAAGGGTAATAAATGTTTTACAGGGGTGCTCACTCTTGTAATAACAATTAATGAGAATTATTTCCCTTTGGCACCAGATTAAAAAAAGTGTTGGGTGGCTTTATAAGTTTAGTATTTTGTCAGTTATTGCTATATTTATCAGTTGTAGACAATTTTATATTAAGATACAAATAAGATTATGATTGGCATGGATCATTAATTAATATTGTAACATTTAATTGACTCAAGGTTATATAATTATAAATATATTAATTATGTTAATAGGATTAAACAGAGGTTAAAATCCTGAAACTTTACTAAATAAATATACAGAACATAACAGGAAGTTTACATTATTACCGATACTCTTGATAAACATAAACGACCATTTTAAGTGATCTAGATGAATGACTTAAACAATATTAGACAGGAAATCGAGGGTTGACTGATTGAAATCTTTAATTGATATTAAACATTATATTAAGACACAAGTCATAATTAGCAAATAATTAGATACGTTTAAGTGATATTTATGTCGTGGAAGTGTATTTAATTTCTTTTTTGAGAATTATTTGACCATAGAACTAATGTAATATGATTAGGATTATTTTTTAATACTGTGACATATGAAATGAGTTATTCTTGAAAAGAATCCAAAATTTTACCCAGTGCACAAATTACCGAATTTTGCGCTGAATGAGATATTTGGAATAGAACCAGCATCGTGGATGTAAATGTTACGATACATTTTGTACATATATAGTTTATCCATATCAATAAGTTGATTAAAAAGTTTAGAAAAAAAATGAGTGTGAGAACAGAATCAATAAAGGATAAAGGGAATCAGTATATACAGAAATATCTTGAATGTGTTAATTCTGACAGTGTACCCATAGACAGATTTGGCAAGGTTTGATATTCTTTTTATGTTAAAAATATGTGAATTTTAATGTCATATGTGAATGTTTGTTGTCCTGTTTGATGAAAATCATACTGTCAGTCAAAAAATGACCTGTCTTTGTTAAAAAAAAAAAAACAAACATGATTTCCATGGTTACAAGTATAGATATTGTGTCCAAGGTATAATGATGTTGATCTGTTTATGATCGGATACAATAATAAAACAAATTTCAAAATGATTTTAGTCCAAATTAGTAACATACTCTTTTATTGAATGTGGTAAAAAAAATAAATTAAGAAATACAATGTTAGATGGTTAATAGAAAATAGTTGTTCATTTAAATTCCAAAATTTTATAAATAATTCACTGGTATATTCCTGAAAAGTGCAAAAACATAAAACTTAAAAAAACTTAAGAAAGTAGGTCAATATGTAAATTTATCCAATTTGAAAGTGTGCTCTACCCACAAAACATCAATGTGACTGTAATTTACAAGCCAAAAAGCTAAAAAATACAAAAGAAAACTTGATGTTAAGATTTTGTGCCATTGCTTATCACATCATTATATTTATAAAATTATTTTATTTTACTTATATTAGAGATAAGTTATTGGTTTATAATTAAAAGAATTCTGTTTTTTTTTTTCTCAGGTGACAAGAAAGAAAGAGAAGAAGTTGTTCTTAATTGCTCAAGAGATTGTCTCCTCCGAGAATGTATTTGTTGATGTCCTTAAGCTTCTTAATGTTGTAAGTTTACTTTTCAGTTGTTCAATGTAGCATTTTAATACATAAATATCATGTTCACACCCCTATGAGAGTGCCAGCCGGTTAGAGCGTTAGGCTTGTAAGCTAGACATTGTAGGTTCGATCCCTTCTCTGGCCAACTATAATAACTAAAGTCTTTCGTATGAGTCTTTAAATCCACGTCCCATGTCTAAGTCCTTAAACTCATGTAAAAGAAGCAGAAGAAGCTTCTGGAATTGGGACATCTACAAAAATTCTTTACCAGGAGCATAGAAGTATACTTCTGGATAATTTTAAAATACATTTTTAACACAAGGAAAAAAAATCACTTTTATTTTTTCTGATAATTTAATTGTGGATAAGCAGCTTTAAACTAAGATGGAGTGGTTTGTATGATCCAAAATGAAGGAGTTATCTTATCTTGAACTTATTGCCTAAATATTCGTATTTATATGTTTCATATAGATAACTAGCTTGACAATATGGCAATTTTCCAATCAGGGCCTTTTTCGGCTTATTTTGGGATGAATTGGGGAAAAAAATATTTGGCATTTTTGGAAATTTATGAAATTTTTAAAAGTACCGTAAATAAACTATGTTACACATGACTTTCAAGTTTTGAACTTATTAGTAATATCACTTTATTGATAAGAATCCAACAATTAGATTATTTTGGCTGCTGTTGGAAATTTTTTATTTGAAATTGGGAGAAGAGGCTATTTCGGATTGGGAATGGGGTCTTTAATATTATGTGTCCCTGGTGATAGGGTGAAAATGCCCTGACAACAACTCCTTCTTTAGTTATAGTATTTTGTATTTAGTTCTCCTTAATCACAAAGATAGGATTTTATCAAAACAGACATGTTAACTTGTTTTGAAAAACAGATGTGTACAAGATTGTCTGGACCTCTGATAGCTTAGCACTTTTTTGTGAAAAAGAAATCTGTAAGATAACTAAGGTAGCTTTCAAGCTCAAATTTTTGTTTGATTATATTTAACTTTAAAAGAATCTTTAACAAGTTTATTTGCTACTCTTGACAGTACATGGCAAAAAACTGAATAGAAATATGATCTGCTATCAACATAAAAGCTTTTGTGTAAGATATACATTTATTGCAGTATATAAAAATGTAGGTATGAATCATAAATGTAGACTGTAAATATTGTAGGATTTTCGACTACACATATCAAAGGCTACAGAGAAGATTGGACGACCTGTGATACCTAATGAAATTTTAAACAGAATATTAGACTATCTGCCACAACTACAGATCTTCAATGAGGGACTGTTGAAAGATTTAGAAGATAGACTTAAAACATGGTAAACAGAAACTTTTTTTTTTATTTTACGGCGCACCAACACAGTGTAGGTCATATGGTGACTTTCCAGCTTTACTGGGGGAGGAACACCTCATGTGCCCTTCTGTGCATTATTTTAGGCATGAATGGCCCATGGCAGTGAGGGGCAAGTGGTTTGAAGTCAATGAGCTTAATCACTCTGCCATGGACGCCCCTTAAACAGAAACAATATAAGTTTGATCACTTTTTAGCTTGAGTATAATTATGAAGAATAGAGACAGCTATTGTACTCACCCTACAGTAGCGTTGGTGTCGCTTTCACACTTTGGTTAAGATTTTGCATGCAAGTCAATGTCTAAAAAACTCATGAAGGGAATGGGTTGAAACTTCACACACTTGTTCTCTGTGATTATTTTACATGATGGGCATAGGTCCAATTACTCTGTGTTACATTTTTACAGAGTAATGCCCCTTTTCATACTGTAAACACGAAGAAAAGTCCAAAGCGCTGTCTTGTTACACTTATAAACTCATTACCTATATCACATCATATTCCTTCTCTTTTTCTGCAAAAATATTAAATGTGGAATTTTCAATTTTATACTATTTTTTTTCATTCACATTATGTACTGCAGTCATCGTACATATAATAATTGTTCTTTATTCAGTATGAATAAAGACAACTATACAAATTTCTTACAGTTGTGCCCGAGATACTTGATATAAACTAGTCATGTATTTAAAATTTATATATGAGATAATGACAATTTTTTAGAAGGAAATTTTATATGTGAAAATTTTATCGCACCATTTTCATTATTTATGACATATAATTATAAAGTAAAAGTAAATATTTAAAAAAAAAGTAAATTTCTTGAATGTTTATCGTGGATTCCCTTCAGAGATAACTTCATATATGATATTTTTAATGTTTTGTTAATAACATGTTAAAAAATATCATATACATGTGTATTCTCAGTTTAGGTGACATATAGGTCCAATGGGCCGGGTGTTCATCTTTGCATATTTTTGTCTATGTTGTAACACATGAGAATATAATAAAGAATTTACTTAGTACTTAATTATAACTGCTTGTTTATATGTAGGGAGGAGAGAAAGGGGATTGCAGATATATTTGTGAAGAAAGGACCATTTCTGAAGCTGTTTTCATCGTATATCAGAGATTTTGAGACCATTACAGCAACTTATGATGATGCTTTGAAAAAATACTCACAATTTCAAACTGCTACCAAAGAATTTGAGGTAAAGTTAAAAATATATTGTATAAAATTACAAATTTTTAAAATGAATAAACCCGTTCTACTTTCCTGAGATATTTTGACTTGGTAAAAAGCACATAAAGAAATAGCGCTGGTTTGTAATGGAAATGATTGTAAGAGTTGGCATTATAGACATGAAGAGAATTTGTAACAGCCAAGGTTAGCCAAAATCATCTTTCTTGTTTTGGCACCATATGACCTAAATTGTGTAGGTGCCCTGTTAAACCAAGCAAAATAAACAAAATTTAAGAGAAGAGAATCAAGTAAAAAAATACATTTCAATTTTGATTGAGTCTATGATTAACTAGTCTGTAGATTGACAAAAGTAAATCAACTTTTTATGCAATTTCAGTTAAGTCCTCGATGTGCCAGCCTGGCTTTAAAACACTACATGTTAAAACCTATACAGAGAATACCTCAATACAGGCTCCTACTTCAAGGTTTGTCATGATTTATTATTAGCATGATATCATAATAATTCTCTTACCACAATTGCATTACATCTAATAGGAATAAAGCCTTCATTGACCATATTTGTTTCCTGAAACTTCTTGATGATAATTAAAATCACTTAACTATTGAGATCATATCTACTTTTAATTGGAATTAAAATTGTTTGAATTAAGATTATATCTGATTTTAATAGACTTATTATGCTATGCAATCATATAATGAAACATTGTGTTTATGTTATGGTATTGTGTTGGAAAGTAACTTGATACACACTTTAAAGCTGCATGCCTCTAGAGTCATGAAAATTTTGAAAATGTATTTAAAAGTAAACTATTGTGAAGTGAACAAAGAATGTAATTTACATATTGCATACTGCACTTACAATCCACATAAATTAACCAAAAAAAGAGGTCAAATATGTTTTCTATTTCTTAAAATCGTATTAAAATTTTCTAAAGTTTGATATCCTTGAAATATTTTGGCTTATCTGGAAGCGTGCAGTTCTAATATTTCACTTATAGACATTTAGCTAACACTTTGATTTTACTTATAGACAGTAATGAATTTAAAATCTTCATGGGTTTCTCTCTCTTATAATAATTACTAGTGTGACCATTTACTGGTGCATATTTTATCATTAAGATATATGATTTGAAAAACAAGTTTTGACAGTATGTTTTTTTATAAAAACAATTTAAATCTTTCAAATTTGATGGCTTTTTGGAGAATATTTTAGGAATTGATGTAAGTCTTCATGCATTCTACTTCTAGTAATAACTATGCCATTAAACTGGTGCATATTTCATCATAAAATATATATATTACCAAAAAAATATGCCTAGTTTTGATAAAGGTATGCAGTCATATAAAAATATACAACATAAAAAAAAAGCTACAAAATTAGGCATCTCATTTTCATTGTCATATACATAATTTTTATTTTACAGATTACATGAAACATCTTCCACCAGACTGCCCAGAAATGAAGGATATGCAAAGTATGTATTGTGTTATACAGAATTTTAGTTCGATTGTATAGGTAGCTTTAAGCTTATAGACACTCTTTTCAATCAGTTGCTGGAACCAACCAGAACTGAGAAATGTGTGTAAAGTTTTTTGCTCAAGGAAACAAGAACTTGCTGACGGGGTTTGAACCCATGCGGCTAGCAATCATGAGATTACGAGTCTGACATGTTAACCACAAGGCCTTGCTGCCATATTAGTTCATAAAGCCTTATAAAGTATGTATTGTATAATGATAATATATCTATGTATGAAACATCCGATGTATCCAAAGATTTTTTATTGCCAGAACTTATTACTTAATTATACTGTTTCTGTTACATATTTTACTTTGGGTTAAACATACTTATTTTAGCTTGATATGTATGAAAGTTTGAAGCTTACATGTATGTGAACTACTCTTTAATCTACTTCCTGGATTTAACTGGTACTGGTGTTATATTAGGAAACATTATCATGACTCAAGTAGGGCTCGAACCAGTGATTTCTTGCTTCAGAGACTGACACTTTAACCACTTACGGCTATGCTCTTGTTCAGTATTTTGATATGTTTTACCCATAACATGCTGAATATCGTAAAAAGACCTTCCATTTTTGGAACTGTTCATTATGAATTTTGGGGATATCAAGATGAAAAATTTAAAGATGGTAGGCAGCAAACAGTATAGAGCTAAGTCTGACTTTGCCGCTGTGCAGGCTGGCCTTACTCAATACCGATGGTAAATGCGAAAGACTAACCACTTTGGGTTCCACCTGGTTAAGCCTTCATCATATTAATATCTGATTAATATAAGACCTTTAGTGTGTCAAATATTTATGATACTGTTATGTTATAACTTTTCAAACTTGCGTAAGATGAAATTAATAAAATCTAACTTTGATCTTTTTTCGTCAACATTGAATTGTTTTACATTTTTCTTCATGTAAATATACAGGAAAGAGATGTTAATTTATAATTATATGACTTTCAGCTGCCCTTGCGATTGTTAGTGAAGTTGCATTACATGCCAATGAAAACATGCGTCATGAGGTGAGTTAGTGTCTCCTATAAAGTCCTCTTGTCATATGCTTTGACTATTTCTTTAATCCTTGCTCTCTATATAGATTTAACATTTGATAAAACATTTACAAATGAAAAGCGGCAATTAAAATTTTTTTTCTTTTTAAATATTTGTTATGAATTGAACTAGGAAGTGTTGAAATATGAGAAGATAGGGTTTTCTTTTCATATAAAGAAAGACATTTTGCCTACTTTAAGTAGACTTCCTACAAATAATCAATACAATAACGTTTTTTTTTTCATAAATTCATAAAAAAATTCAAAAAGAAATACATTATCTGAAAATTAGGAAAGTTAAATTTTGAGTTTAAAATCTCTATGGCTATAAATTTGTCGTGTTTGCTATACCAGTCTTTATGTCAAATTTTAATAATTTAACTACAAGTGACAGTCTATGCTTACCAGTACAGATTACCTAGTCAGTCTGCATGTTGATGTTATCTGATTAAACTTTATACTATTTGCCACTAAATTTAGTATTTTTATACTGAAGTCCATTACCATGCTAATTTTCTTGAATGGACTTGTCCATCTCTTAAAATGGACAAAACCATTCATTATTTAAGGGGAATATTTCAAGATATATACTAACAGATTAACGAACAGTGCAGACCATGATCAGGTGGCATGGATGTGCCGGATGATCTTGGTCTGCACTGGCAGAATTTGTTGCTACAAGCAGAATGTTCTAGCTGATCTTGGTTTGGACTGGTCTGCACTGGCTGATCTTGGTCTGGACTGGTTTGCACTAGCTGATCTTGGTTTGGACTGGTCTGCACTGGCTGATCTTGGTTTGGACTGGTCTGCACTGGCTGATCTTGGTCTGCACTGGTTGCATGTGCAGAATCTGTTGCTACCAGCATACCAAGTGTAAAACAATGATCTGTTCTCAAGTAATAGCAGATTAATTCTGATACGCAAAACAAGCAAACAGTTAGAGGAAGATTCATAGATTCATGACTATAATAGCATGAGATAAAAAAAAAAGTGCTCACACATGTTTGATTGAAATTTTTCTAGGACTATGTTCAGAAGATGTTAGAGATACAGAGGTCTCTGATTGGTCAATTTGAAGTTATCAAACCAGGAAGGGTAAATTTTTTACTATATTTTTTAACAAATAAAGATATTTCTTGTATATTTAGAATTTATTGTTTTACTTTTACAAGCATTTGCTAAATGGAAATTTTAATGTTTACATAAGACTAGATGCCAGATTTATAATTCAAATAATTATGTATGACTTAATATATTTTTGTCAGGATCTTCTTTTAATGGAATTTCAATTAACAAATGAAGAGTTACAGTACAAAAAGATATTTACATGAGTTATATTTGTTTCAGATATTTCTAAAAGAAGGGGAGCTTATGAAGTTATCAAGGAAGGGAATGCAACCTAGATACTTCTTCTTGGTAAGTTGTTTATACTTGTTATTGTAATAAAAATGTTGTAATATAGAATAAACTTGACACTTTGATGTTGAACTTTGTATACATCAATGTTGAATTTAAAAAGTTGTTTAGATCATCAGAAACATTTAAATGAAGAAAAATGGACTTTTCATACAATACTAGTATACTTTGCCTCTCATTTTCAGGTATTAATTATTAGTTTTAAGAAATCTATAAAAGTGTATTGTAACAGAAGTATAAAACATGAAATTCCCATATTGATTAAAGAACTTTTCATACTTTAATAAGTTTTTTTTTGCACATTGAAACAATAAAATCAGTCATGTGCATTGCATATATATTTAATTTTACAGTTTAATGATGTATTGTTATATACAACTCCTGTTGCCACGGGATACAGACTCAATAATGTACTGCCATTAGCTGGAATGAAGGTAATGTTCTTAAATTTACATTTTGTGTTGATATCTATACAAAATTTTAGAATCATCTGTAACTAGCATTACTTCCCTGCTTGTGTTAAAGCCATGGATCTATCAGTAATTAACATCCAATCAATGTTAAGAAAACTGTCTAGCTAGCTTAAGAATGGAGACTGTTCTACCTAGATAATTGTTCTTACTTTAAGGTACCTTACCACCTCTTCCTCCAGTAAAATGAATAACGATCTCCACATGTCAATGAAAGGTTAATCTCAAATTCCATTAAAACACAATTAAATGAATGATGTCCTAATAGCAAACGTGTGAGGATGAATGAAGCTTCTTGCCTATGTATGTAATGTTTTATCACAGTTTCAACCCCAACAAACTAATTCATCCAGAATCTGGATTGTTAAAGAGAACTTAGTTATTTGACTTATACAGGAAGAGCTACCTGTGCTGTACCCTGTGAGTTCTTATTTTGACATATATTTAACACTTAATGCTACTAATGATTTAAATTCTGGCTGGCCTTCCATAAAATGAATTTTAATGATTCCAGGTATCAGTGGCTGCACAAGATGAGTATAAAATGGAGTTTAGTATAATATCTGTGCAGCGTTCATTCACGTTACATGGTTCTACCCTCGAGGAGCGGGATGACTGGGTAACGGCCCTCAATGCTGCTATAGAAGAAAATGCCCTCAAAAGGAACACCTTTGAGGCAGTGAGGGCAGGAGCTCAGGTATGTCTACACACAACATGTATCATGTAATCATGGTTATATAGAAGCATGTTTATGAATTGTTTAATCAAGATTTATTTTATTTTTGTATTCAGAATTTTTTTGTTAGTATTTCTACTTACAAAGATTCACTTGCTGTGAGTGATATAGGACCATGAGGTCCATTCTGTTTGTATCTTTTATGACTCAAGTTGCACATTTGTTGAGGGAATGTATTTTATATTTTAATTTTATTTCTTCTTTTTAACCCTACAACATGATTTCTGACCTCATTATTTTACAACATTTAGTTAAATAACTTTGTTGAATGTTTTACAAAAACTGTGATATCAGAAGAATAAAAAATATTTGTTAGTATTTTGTGTAATAATATAACTTACAGGAAAATTATTTTCTAAAATCTGTATAACAACAAAGATTTCAGAAATTAGACTGATATAATTTAATAGTTTGAATGTATTCCTTATGATCTTTATGAACTTTGTTATATAGTTCTGGGAGGAACATTTACAAAAGTCCTGGGATACGTATCAGGTGACCAATACTGAATGAAAATATTTGTATTCTGTGAATGATAATTATCTCTTTCTGCTCAAGAATGAAATTTTCTGAGTATAAATAATCACCATTCTTTGAATGTGACTATAGAAATTTTTATTATTATTCCTAGAAAATGATGTTATAGCAATGAGCCCAAAACGTAATACTATGTTATGTTTTTCATAATTATTTGTAATTGAGTTAATTCAGAACTCTAAATGATAAGGGCACAAATGATTTACCCCTGCCTCAGAAATAATGAAAGTTAAATGATCAAGGGTACATGAGTATAATACATACAAAATGTAATACAAATAAATTACCATGAAGCAAGATTTAATACACATCTTTGTGAAATTTTGAGTAATTTCATAAAAAATATATTTCTTATCAGGATTTTGACAAATTCAAGGTATATATTTTCAATCTTATTACGATTTGTAATCCTGACATCGAGGTTATAAAATATTTTCTTAGATTTGTCTCAAATCTCAGGATTTTCATTTGTTAGTGCACATTCTGTACTGCTTTTTGTCCAATTAAATACCTGAGATCCGAGTTTGAGCTAAGAAAATTTATTTATTACCTTTGGCTTGTGTTTGGACTCAGAGAGGTTGGTTATGGGGCTTTTTGCCTGCAAAGAACTGAGCAAAGGGTCAAGGTGCATATAGGAAATGAAGGGTCATAATAATGGAATGAAAAGGGTAGAAAAAATATTTGCTTAAATAGTATGTGAAGGGAGTTTGGGGTTCTGTAAGGTTGATATGGAAGTGACAGAAATTTATTATAGTCAATTTAAATTTGCTGTCATAACGCAATAAACTTATTTTATAACAAAGAACATCTCATCAGGTGACCTAGTGGTTAAGATGTCCGTCTCTCAACCCAGGGATTGTGGGTTCAAGGCCTACTGGGGGCCACAACTATGATTCATATATCCATCAGTACTGGTAATTTCCAGGAAGTGGACTTGAGTGTTGTTTAGATAAGCTGAAAGCTTTCATCACAATCATGCTTACAAAAAAAAAGTTTAAAGTCACAAAATAATTGCGATAAATCTTTGAATTGTTAAAGCTATGAATAAAAAAATAGCAAAATAATAACTACCTACCTAAATATTATAAATTGGAAAATAAATCAATACTATAATAACTAGAAACATATGCATGTAAATAGGTAGATAATATTAATATATATATGTATAGGATTTTGGCTTGTGAATGAAGCATGAATTTATATGTAGCAGTAACTGACAATATTTTATTTTCTTGCATGTTTTAGTTTGATGAGGTGAGTTTATTTCACTGTGTCTATCTATATCTGTGCGTGTACATCTAACATCTGTGCCTTTAAAGGATATTGTAGGAGAGAAAAGCACTGCTAGTACTTTGATTGGCAATTCTTTGCAGCTGTTTCATGTTTTTATGCCCCCGCCATATAATTGCAGGGGCATATAGTGTTACCCTGTTCCGTCATTCCGTCATTCCATCCTTCCGTCATCATCAGTTTCCGTTCTTTATCTTAATAACCGTTGCACATATTGAACTCAAATTTGACATATAGATATGTCATGAAAAAATACAGGTCAAGTTTGAAATTGGTCATGGTTTGATGATTTTTGGCAGAGTTATGCCCCTTTTACTTTGAAAATATTATGAAATTTTCAGTTTCCGTTCATTATCTCCCCAATGGTACAACACATTCAACTCAAACTTGACATATGGATATGTCATGAGAAAATACAGGTCAAGGTCAATTTTGGTCAAGGTTCGATGATTTTTGGCAGAGTTATGCCCCTTTTACTTTGAAAATAATATGAAATTTTCAGTTTCCGTTTATTATCTCCCCAACAGTATTACACATTCAACTCAAATTTGACATATGGATACGTCAAAGGAATGCGCAGGTCAAATTTAAATTTGGTCATGGTTCGATGATTTTTGGCAGAGTTATGCCCCTTTCACTTTAAAAATAATATGAAATTTTCATTTTCCGTTTATTATCTCCCCAACAGTATTACACATTCAACTCAAATTTGACATATGGATATGTTTTTGGAATGCGCAGGCCAAGTTCGAATTTGGTCAAGGTTTAATGATTTTTGGCAGAGTAATGCCCCTTTCACTTTGAAAATGATATGAAATTTACAGTTTCTGTTCATTATCAACCCAACAGTGTTACATATTCAACTCAAAATTGACATATGGATATGTCAAAGGAATGCGCAAGTTGGAATTTGGTCATGGTTCGATGATTTTTTGGCAGAGTTATGTCCCTTTCACTTTGAAAAAAATATAGATACATCTTAGGAATAAGCAGTTTAAGTTTGAATTTGGTCGTGGTTCAATGATTTTGGACAAACTTATCTTTCCTGAATGTTGGAAAAATTTTGAACTTTCAGTTTCAGTTTCAGCACTCATACTTTTGTGGAAATGTATATAGCCATTATTTTGGCTACAAATATGCAATATGCTATTTTCAAAAGGTTAAGACTGAATAATTTCAGTGCCTTGAACATTGTATAAAAATGGTTTGTGTTAACATTGAAAAGTTTTAAGGGCTTTGAACTTAGAATGAAAAAAATAATTTGTGCAAACAAATTTGGAACTAAATATTATAACATTTGAAATTTTGGCTGCATGCGGGGGCATCCGTGGCATGATGACACATTTCTAGTTTTCTCTTAATTTAGAAAGAGAACACTTTAAGTTTTTCTACATAAAGAAGTGCTTATAAAAGATGAATTTTGTGGTAAAAGTAAAATGTTTGTAATGAATATTTAACTTGTTGAGGTCACATTGAATTTAAATGCATGTTTATAGCTTTGTTTTTTTGCAACTGATAGATTTTTACATGAACATGTAAGTCATTTATATGATTGATTTAATGATCATAATAATGATAATAATTGACTAATAAATTAAATCATGTTTTCATCAAATTCAAACTCATAAAACTCTGTACTCTGTTAATGGTTGTCACCTAGTCTTTGGCCATCAACAGAATGCAGAACATCACATTTGCTTTTTTCTGTCATTCTTAATATCTTTCACCACTATCTACCACAGGCATTCGGCACATTTGTCTTGCCAATAATGGTCAAATATCATAAAATAATCTCCGCTTGATCATCATGAACAAAATTACTATCCAGGACCTAATTACTATTATATAATACACATGAATACTGGTACTATATTTAGTAAATGACTGCTGGATAGTTGTTTTCTTCTTGTTGATCAAGAGTACATTGTATATTTTATGATAATTTGACCATTATTAGCAAGACAAATGTACCGAATGCCTGTGGTATCTATGACCATGTTGGACCAGAAATGGAGCATCAGCTCCCTGTGTACCAATGATTGAGATTATATGATTTGATGTTTGCTGCTGATGTGGTCAAAACTAAAATTTTGTGAATATTGAATAATTTATTCATCCAAGATTTTTTTATGATATGAATTCTTTATTGCTGGATTCATTTTCTTGAAGAAATATGTAGAAATATAATTTTAAATTTTCCTTTCCTAAGGAGGGTGGGGGTGGCACATATATTTGCCCGTGCCTACTTCATAGTCCTGCTGTCTGTCCATAAACTGACAAAATACTAGTAGTATAATATTTGGGCATTTGTGGACACATTTATAGTTTGCATTAACTTTAAAAGATTTCAATTTTTTAAAGCTGCTTAATACATATACATGTACTGGTAAACATGCTTAGAGATGTGGAAATATCACACACAACATTTAGCAGATTTTTCTTATATAGAGCACATATCTGTTACTTTCTTATTTCTAGGGTTATATGTACATTTTTTGTTTGCTTAGTCATTAGTGGTTGAAATATAATATATCTGTCATTTTACTCTCTCTGCTATCTTTTTTTTTTATCAAACAAAATTGATGAAATTCTGAATTTTCATTGTAAATTTTTTTATTATTATTATTTTTTTAATGAAATGTTGTTCATATAACACCTTATAGGAACACCTTTGTTTAGTGTTGAGTGCCCTTGACCTTGATTGCTTCATCCTTATCATTGTGTGTTTGATTTGTTAAAGATGTGACAGATTTCATGTTATGATATGTTATGTTTTATTTAAACAATGTATTTCGAAAGTGAAAAGTATTTCCACTAATGAACCCTGCTACTGATATGTGGCACAAAAAATTGAGGACAATTTAGGTTTTCCTTTAATAGGAGATCTTTATGGTTGTGATATTGATTTTGCTAATGTTACGTAGACCTCAAGAACTAAACACAGAGCTAACACTACTGCAGATTTATATCTTGCTGAAGAATGCTGAATTCTTAACTTTTAGTGCTTTTTTTTTTTCTTGTTTTTTTTTTTTTGCTTGGAAGTTCAGGAGATATTTTATGCCAGAAATTCTTAATATCATAGTGTTGCAGTGAAGTACATTAAGTTTTGCTTTGTATTATTGCTGTGCAAAATTTATTTTTGAACAGATGCGATATAAATTTGTTCATTAAATATACAATGTGTTATAAAGTCTATGGTAGAAGATGTATTTACTTACTTAATGATAGTTAACATGATAATGCACACAAATACTTCCCTAATATCAGTAGTAAGTAATGCTTCTAACAATTTATGTTAAAAGTAATTAAATGGGTCTGTTTGTGCGTATATATGTGTCTTATCTGAGCTTCTGTTTATTTTAATTCTTTACTATTTCAGGCATTATTAGATAAAGATTTTGTTTTGGGACACAAGGCACCATTATGGATCCCCGATGCACGTGTCACTATGTGTATGCTGTGCACATGTGAATTTACTGTGACCTGGAGACGTCATCACTGCAGGGCTTGTGGATGGGTAAATAGATTTTGTGTAAAAAAAAATATTACTTTATAAATTTTTTTTTTTAAATGGACCTGTGATACAATATGTATCAGTCTCAGTTGTGTTTATCGGCTATTTATCACCTATTTGGAGATTTGAAGCAAATGAATTGACCATGAAGGCCTGACTGGGTAATTTTTGGCATCACCATGACAAAACTGGTGTTAAATAGCCCATATGATATTATTTTAATTTTTACAAAACAAAACAAGGGTGATCAGTAACGCTATTTTTTATGGAGATTATTTTCGTAGCTGATAAAGCTCTTTTATTCTTTTATAGATATCTTTATTTTCAATAGATATTTATAAATTTTTCAACAATCAAAACTTACATATCAGACTTTTTAACATTGTTTTTCCTCAGTGCTATTTAAATCAATTTTCAACCCTAATCATTTGAAAATGACATTTTGAGAAAAGACTTCAATAAGCATTAGGTTGCTTCCAGTCTAATCCTTTTCTTGTATTGATTGTTAATATCATGTATGTAAGTATGTTTATTTGACAAATAAAATATGTTTAAACCAAAATGACATCATTCTGGCACCTTTATGATGTCATGTATTCTATAAGAAGTTTAATGCCTGTTAGGCCGTGTCTACACCTATTCAAGTTTCTTACATGTCACATTTAGATAAGCTAAATAAATGGCCCTTTCAACATTTTTTCAGGCACAATTTTTACTGAAATGTCTCATTAAGATAGCCCAGGATTTATACCTTTGTCTTTGCAAGACTATCATGTTTCTGTAAAATATGTGAAAAAAAAGCGGAAAAATGATGCAATTAGCTAAAACAATGGAGTAAATGAAATGCGTACATTCTTTTGAAAATTGAAAAATGTAACAAAAATTTATTTTGATGCAAATTCTTTATTTGATGAAAGTTATTCACTAAATGAACAAGATCATTTAAAATCCATGTTGACTCTACTTGAAAAAGAGCTCTTTTTATTTTTTTTACAATGTATTTATTTTTATTTATTTATTTATTTATTTATTTCGCTCTTCTGTGTATCAGCGTATTAATATGTTCCTTTGACCAAGACATTGTAAACATTTTCTGAAATTCAAAGGGCATGTACACTGAATCAACAACAAAAAGTCAGAAAATAATAAAATTAACAGCACTATCAAACCTTCGGGCACATGTTTTGTGTCAAACTGGTGTTATCAGTGTCTTGACAGCCAAAATCTTCATGGATGTCACATAATTTCTCATTAAAAACCATTCAAGTAGGGTGTCTACACTATCAAATACAAGAGAATATGATACTTGCATTCAAGACTTGGAAAGGTGTAGACAGGGCCTTATTTCTTTTTAGCTCACCTGTCACAAAGTGACAGGGTGAGCTTTTGTGATCGCTTTTCGTCCGTCGTCCGTCTGTCGTCCGTAAACTTTTACTTTAAATGACATCTCCTCATTAACCACTAAGCCAATTTCATCCAAACTTCATAGGAATGTTCCTTTGGTGGTCACCTTTGAAAATTGTTCAAAGAAATTAATTCCATGCAGAACTCTGGTTGCCATGGCAACCAAAAGAAAAAACTTTAAATATCTTCTTCTATAAAACCGAAAGAGCTAGAGCTTAGATATTTGGCATGAAACATCTTCTAGTGAGTGTCTACCAAGTTTGTTCAAATAAAAGGTCAAAATTGGCCCTGCCCCAGGGGGGTCATTGATTTTCCCTATATGCATATAGTAAAAACTTAAAAAATCTTCTTTTAAAGAAACCAAAGAGCTAGAGCTAAGATATTTAGCATGAAACATCTTCTAATGGGTGTCTACCAAGTTTGTTCAAATAAAATCCCTGGGGTCAAAATTGTCGCCGCCCCGGGGGTCATTCATTTTCCTTATATGTGTATAACAAAAACTTAAAAAATCTTTTTTGAAAAAACTCAAATAGCTAGAGTTTAGATATTAAGCAAAGAGCATCTTCTAGTGAGTGTCTACAAAGTCTGTTCAAATAAAATCCCTAGGGTCAAAATTGGCCCCGCCCCGGGGGATTTTCCTTATATGTGTATACATGGTATAGCAAAAACTTAAAAATCTTCTTTGAAAAAACCCGAATAGCTAGAGTTTAGATATTAAGTATGAAACATTTTCTAGTAAATGTCTACAAAGTTTGTTCAGATAAAAGCCCTTGGGTCAAAACTGGCCCTGCCCCAGGTGTGTCCTTGTTTTAAACTATACGTTTAAAGAAAAAAAATGACAAGCTAGACCTTAGATGTTAAGCATGAAACATCTTCTAATGGGTGTCTACCAAGTTTGTTCAAATAAAAGCCCTGGGGTTTAAACTGGCCCCTCTCCGGGGGCCTATATACAGGTGAGCGACTTCAGGGCCATCATGGCCCTCTTGTTTTGTACATTCTGCAGTTGACTTTAACATTATTCTTATTGACCCAAGACAATGATGGCTGCTGACTGCATTAAACAGGGTCATGTAATTATACAGGGTACATTATATTTAATGAAAACAAGACTATATTATTCAGGGTAAATTTAATAAAGGACAAAACTATATATACAAGGCACATATATTAAATAAGAACAAGACTATATGTATATACATATAACAAGACTTTTAATAAATAATTATTGCCAACACTAGAAGTTATATTTATATAGGTGACAGCTAAAACAGTTTTGACTTCTGTGTAAATAAAGATTGGGGAAAAAATCATCATCATATAAACAGAAATTTGAAATTGATCTTCATGAGCAATATTGTCCTCTTCACAAGAGGCTCTTATCTCTTAATTATCTGTCAATTATCTCTCAAATGTAAAAATAGAAAGCCATTGAAGTTGGATTCATTCTTTCAATTTAACATGATTAATGCTATTTCAAAATAAAATGTGATAAAAAGAATGATGACAGGTCTGTATTTTAACATTTGAATCAGTCTGATAGAGACAATCAGTATATGATCATTGATAGTGATACAGTAAACTTCACTTATAGCGAACACGGTTATAGCGAACTTCCGGTTACAGGGAACAATCCATTGCAAACTGCAAAGTACGCTTGATTTAAATGAAAAGAAATCTATATCTTACATTAGTAACAGTCACCCTTAAATTATAAAAGAGGATACTGTATTCAATATAAAAGGAAGGAAAAATTGAAAATCTTGTTTATTCTAAATAATGGAAAGAAAACGAAAAGAGTTTAGAAACAAAATATTATATTTTATGTGAAATTGAGATAGGGAGTAAAACTAAAACTGAAATAGCAATGATTTTCAAATTCCAAAAAGTACGCTCTCGGGTATTGTGTCTAAAATATAAATAAATGACTAATTTTCTATTTCTTAATCAACTGCTCTTCAAAAATGGCGGTCAATGGTAAACAATCAGTTCGTTATATGTAAATCTGTTCGCTATAAAAAAACTCGTGATACAAGGAACTAATTCGCTATATGCTTACAAGGAACTCCGGATATAAGGAACAGGTTTTGAATGTCCCAGTGAGTTCGTTTTAAGCGGAGTTTACTGTACTTCATACTGTCTGTTTTGACCCCATTTCATTGCCTATTCAATATGTTGGAAAGGAGTTTACATATATGGATGATTGCTACATTGTTTCTTGCCCTTTGCTGAAGAGAAAGCAGGTAGCAGTTTAATGCATGTTGAGGTCTGTTTTCTTGTTCCATACATTGTCCTAAAATGTTGAGAGCTGTTTCTCTATGTTCAAGATTTCTATCTGTAACTATGGTTATTATTAGATTATTAAGTGCTTCTTTTTGATCTTGATGCCTTTGTAGATGCCTGTAGATCTTGTATTGTAGGAAGTGCAAGAAAGGTAGAGAATCAACAACAGCCCAGTCCATCCAACAGTCTATAAACTCCTGTCTGTGTATCATGTCATCTTGTGTAGATCTAAACATTTCATATTGTAGTTCATGAGGAACACAGTTGATCTCTTCCTTTATAAATCTGACACAAAATGCTGTAATGTGTTTAATATAGTCCTCACTTTGTTCACCACATATCCTCTTGTATTCTGCTGTTACTGCTGGTGGAGGCTTCTTCCGGCAGTGACAGATAGGTGCAACAGGATAAGAGTAATATTGTTGTTCAGTGTGTCTCAGAATTAGTTCAGCTTTTTCCATATCTCCTGTACTGTAGAACACTGAAGCCAATTTAAGTCTGCCAGATGAGTTATCTGAGTTTAAACCAGCTGATAGCCAAACCAATGATTCAGGTGACACTTGATTATTTTCTACAATGCTTGATGATGCTAGGATAGATCCATATGTGGTAAAAACAAAAGGTGCTAGAAGCTTTACTGCAGCCTGTTCTAATCTGTTACCATTATCACAAAAGGACATTAGTTTACCTACATATTGCTTTATTGTTCTTATGTTTTTGTTGTGTAAATGTTCTAAATATTGCTTATGCTGTTCACATATCTCTTTTGCAATATTTATATATTGCTGGGTCAAGATATTTTCATAAATTTGAAGAGAAGACTTAAAATAGTAAACTCCATGTGGTGCCATGTTCAGTTTAACTTGAAGTCTATGACCAAGATCATCAATATCAATACTAAGTAACTGGTGTCTATCATTCTGTAAAAGTTCACAAATATTTTTTGAAAGTTCATGCTTTGTGTCAGCTGTAAATTGCCCTGCCATCAAATTATTTTCTGGTATAATGAAATGTGAACAACAGTCATTTTGAACAAAACTGTGTAATTGCAATAAGCAGTATGTTAAACATGTAAATAAATTGTTTTCTTTCCATATCTGTGACTCTGTGTTTTCTATACAATGTAATAGAACTGTTTTACACATAAAACTTGAAATATTGATTTCCCCTTGAGGATTAAGGAAAGATTTAAGGATCATTTTCAACAACACATAGCACCTTATTTGTGTTATATTTAGATTCATCATCAGGCATCTTTCTGCCATTGATGTAGATATTCTCCATTCCAGTTCAGGATATTCACTGACCCTACTCCCAGTTGCAACAACGAAACACCCAGTACTGGCTGCATATCTTCTCATTTTTTGTGTTGGCCATCTGCCAATACCCTGTCTATCTAACCAACCTGATGCTGATTGAGGCCATGATTTACATGGTAAAGCAATAACAAGGTCTCTATCACAGAATCCAGGTTGTCCTTCTTCAGCAATAGATGGTCCATGCTGCTGACCAGCACTTGCAAACATATTATTTATGATTGTGTTTTTATACAATATTCTTCCTCTTCTATCAGTAATATAGTGTTCATTGGGAGTGACAGTAAGAGGAAGAGGTACATTATCTCTGAGCTTTTGTAAGAAACAATAACCTCTTGTAGTGTTCTTATCCTGTATCATGAGATAGTTTTTCTTGCCATGCTCCCACTCTGACCAGTCTTGTATTATATTGAAATCATGATAACACATTAGTATATCAACGTCTGAATTAAGTCCCAAAGTAGTTGTCCCTTCACACTGACTCCCAAGAAGATATTCAGTCATGTTTTCATCAGCTAACCTCCACCTGATATTCCTCATAGTTTCTATCAGCATGAAATGTCTTCTCCTTCTCATCACCATTCTTTCATTGACACCAATGTCATTTAAAACCTCTGATAACATCAATGATAGGTTTTCTCTGTAATCAGGTTCTTGAAACATTCTGTAATATATTGGTAAAATGGAAAATTGTTTAAGTCAGCCACCAAATTATTTTTATCACATACTTCTACTTGTTCCTTATTTGTCCTTTATGTCCTAGAACAGATCAGAACAAAAGAGTCAATATGGACATTATGAAACATAAGATAGTTACCTCTCTGGCGTGGGTTCGATCCCATTATGAAACATAAGATAGTTACCTCTCTGGCGTGGGTTCGATCCCATTATGAAACATAAGATAGTTACCTCTCTGACGTGGGTTCGATCCCCGGGAGATGCTTTGGTAGTTTAGCGCGGAGGGAGGTAGTCTAGTACTGGTGTAACTCTCCAGGAATGATGGTTAGGAAACTACCCGCCAAATATGACTGAAATACTGTTGGAAAAAGGCGTAAAATGAAACAAACAAACAAACAAACGAAACATAAGATAAATAAGTTAAGGTAGTTATCAATTGATTAAGAATATTGATTTTTTTTCTTTTTGGTTGTGGTATTTTTCTTCTATTATGTATATTTGAAAAATTGTTTTCTGAATTTGATATAAGAGAGACAATAAAATTAAACACTTGTTCGAGTATATTCCAAGTAACACTTTCATACATGTAAATTCATTCAACATAATTTTGACATTGTGTCTATAAAATAAAGTTTTAAACTTACTTTGAATGTTGGATTTAATAGAATTTCATAGAAATAATCAAGAAAAAAAATAGTTCTTTTTATTTGACCAGATATGTGGAATTTAACATATAACACCACAATAAATTACATGATAATATAAAATTTTATATTGTATATTTCGTAATTCATAATTAATTGAAACAAATATGTAATTTTTAGATTGAAAAAAGGGAGACACAAAAATTAAAAACACTGTCTGAAATATCACCTGAACTACTTTCCTACATAATTCATTCTATATAAATGTGAAATTGTGTATATAATTTAAAGTTTTACACTTACTTTGAATGTTGTAGTTAAAAGTGTTTCATAGAAATAATCATGAAAAACTGTTTCTTTCCTTTTGACAAGATTAATGGAAATTTTGCTATTTTTATTTCCTTGAAATGAAAGGGAAATAACTTTCTTCCTTTTGCTTAGAGTTGTTATAAGAGTCAATTGAAAAATGTATGTTTTAGATTTTTAGCTCACCTGAGCATATGCTCAGGGTGAGCTATTAGGATCACTCTTCATCCGTCGTCTGTCGTACATCGTCCGTTCACACTTTTAAAACGACATCTCCTCTGAAACCATAAGGCAGATCATAATGAAACTTAACAGGGATGTTCCTTTGGTGGTCACCTTTAAAAATTGTTCAATTAATGTAATTCCATGCAGAACTCTGGTTGCCATGGCAACCGAAAGAAAAAACTTTAAATATCTTCTTTTAAAAAACCCAAAGAGGTAGAGCTTAGATATTTGGCATGAAACATCTTCTAGTGAGTTTCTACAAAAGTTTGTTCAGATAAAAGCCCAGGGGTCAAAATTGGCCCCGCCCCAGGGGGTCATTGATTTTCCCTATATGCATATAGTAAAAACTTTAAAAATCTTCTTTTAAAGAACCCAAAGAGCTAGAGCTAAGATATTTAGCTTGAAACATCTTCTAATGAGTGTCTACCAAGTTTGTTCAAATAAAAGCCCTAGGGTCAAAATTGGCCCCGCGCCAGGGGGTCATTCCCTATATGCATATAGTAAAAACTTAAAAAATCTTCTTTTAAAGAACCCAAAGAGCTAGAGCTAAGATATTTAGCTTGAAACATCTTCTTATGAGTGTCTACCAAGTTTGTTCAAATAAAAGCCCTGGGGTCAAAATTGGCCCCGCCCCAGGGGTCATTGATTTTCCTTATATATGTATGGCAAAAACTTGAAAAAACCCAAATAGCTAGAGTTTAGATATTAAGCATGAAACATCTTCTAGTAAGTATCTACAATGTTTGTTCAAATAAAAGCCTTGGGGTCAAAACTGGCCCCGCCCCAGTGGTGTCATTGTTTTTAACTATAAGTGTATAGTAAAAACTTAAAAAATCTTCTTTTAAAAAACCCAATGAGCTAGAGGTTAGATTTTAAGCAGGAAACATCTTTTTGTTGGTGTCTACCAAGTTTGTTCAAATAAAAGCCCTTGGGTTAAAACTGGCCCCGCCCCAGTGGTGTCATTGTTTTTAACTATAAGTGTATAGTAAAAACTTAAAAAATCTTCTTTTAAAAAACCCAATGAGCTAGAGGTTAGATTTTAAGCAGGAAACATCTTTTTGTTGGTGTCTACCAAGTTTGTTCAAATAAAAGCCCTTGGGTTAAAACTGGCCCCGCCCCAGTGGTGTCATTGTTTTTAACTATAAGTGTATAGTAAAAACTTAAAAAATCTTCTTTTAAAAAACCCAATGAGCTAGAGGTTAGATTTTTAGCATGAAACATCTTCTTGTTGGTGTCTACCAAGTTTGTTCAAATAAAAGCCCTTGGGTTTAAATTGGCCCTGCCAGGGGTGGGGGCAAAGGTCTTGTATTTCATTATATGTGTGTAGTAAAAACTTAACATCATGAAACATCTTCTAAGTGGTGTGTTCCAAGTTTGTTCAAATAAAAGCCCTGGGGTTTAAACTGGGGCCGCTCTGGGGGCCTATATATACAGGTGAGCGACCTCAGGGCCATCATGGCCCTCTTGTTTTGTGTATAGTGACAAAATCACAGTCATGTTAGAATTGGCAACAAAGTGCTCTACTGGGCTTCGGCAATAAATGGAAACATCTTTTAACAATAAAATCTAAACATTTTCTGATTTTATCAATGAACAAATTTATGGTACATTGTATAATTATAATGTATATAACTTCAAAAGAAATGCTTTGTGTTTAAAAACTTATATTTCCTATATAGTACATATAAAGTAAAATGATTTTAATATTAAATTAAATAAATTATAAGATAAAATTATATGAATTATTGCAGGTTGTGTGTGGAAATTGTTCTGATTGTAAAGCTCCTCTGAGATATCTCAAATATAAATCTGTCAGAGTGTGTGATAAATGCTACAAAACATTAAAAGCTGGTAAGAAATCTCTATTTTCTTCTTACACATTACTTTATAATATAATATGTCACGTCTCTAATATGTAAACCTGATTTACTTTCTTTCTGTCTAATTTATTATTGAATTTGATTAATTGGGTTAACACATGGCTGTAGTGAATAAAATTATAAAGTTATGATATAGAGGATATTGAATGAGTGTAAGTTCATTACTAAATTTATTGAACAAGTTGTATAAAATTATATTTTATTGAACAAGTTCAATAAATTTAGTAACAAACCAACACAAATATAATATTTAATTTATGACATACCCAATATAAGAACGATTTATGTAAAAAGGATAAATTTTTTATTGGCCTGCCTATAGTGTAACACTAACTCTAGCACACATAATGCTACTTTGTCTAACAAATGATGTGATATTGCATCATTGTTGTATATTACATACCTGTCCCATAATTTATGTGATAAATTATTTTATCAAACACAGAAACTGACATTGTTCTGTTGTATTCAGTCTTTAATTGTCAGAATTGAATTCTACATTTTGAACCTTCAACCTTTCAAGTGTTAAATTGAATATTGTATTGAAATCTACTTTCTTGATCTAACAGTGTTGAATTGAATGAATGTTGTAATTATTGAACACTCAAACAAACTCTATATGTTTATACAGCTGCTGAGAGTGATGCTAAATCTCCCGAGAAACAGGAAGAACTCGAGAAAGTGGAAGAAGAAGGTGGTAACTTACTTAGTCTGAACGGACTGTTCGAGAGGTTCCAGAAAATACGACGTAGTGGACGAACGGAAAAGAAAATGGGCGTTCGTCCTGAGAGATTAAAAGAGGTAATGAATTTGATTCTCGCAGGGGACACAGTAAAGAATGTAATTTACTGGATAAAAGCTAAAACTTAAGTGTTACTTTTGCTTATCAGTTATATTCCTATATTGTAAAGTTGTTGTTGTGGGTCTTTTTTGTGATCACTCAGCATTGTGAGTAAATTTTTAAATAGTTTGGAATTATTTCACATCAGAAGGTTATACAACTTGTCTATGGAGGGTTTGGTGGTACTACCCGGTTATTGGGGGAAAAAATCAGCAAGGGGCATAAACATAATTTCTACCTCTCTGATTACACTATTCAGAGAGCTACATAAGATTTATGTTTTCAACCTTTCTGTGACTGAAATGATTGAACGTTTCCTTAATGACCTGAACAGTGTTGATATTACTTAAATTAAAAAAAAATTAAGAAATTACTGTTAGTAACTTTGTTACAGTCCTTATAATATATAGTTACAACTTATCAACAGGTAGCAGCAAATGACCAGGGTGCATCTATGAGTGGCTATCTACAAAGGTGGCATAAAAACAAAAAATGGAAGAGAAAATGGTACCTCATTAAAGATATGGTCCTGTATTCGTTTAAAGCTACACAGGTAGGTAGTTTGACAACTTGCATATAAACTTTGTTTTATGCTGTTTTCTTGTCAGTGGTTATCATAAGGAAAATAAAGCTAAAACAATGTATTCAGAAGAATTTTTATGCCCCCACAAAGTGGGGTGCATATAGCGTTGCACTTGTCCGTCCGTCCGTCAGTTCGTACGTCCCAAAATCTTGTGAACGCAACTCCCCTTAAACCGGATGGCAGATTTTGCTTAAACTTCCAGGGATGAACAACCTTAATGTGTAGATGGTAGTAAGGAAGGAATTTTTTCTGTGACTGTATTTAACAGAATTATTGCCCTTTGTTGATTTTTTCACTATATACTATGTAGAAATGTTGTGAACGCAACTCCTCTTAAACCAGATAGCAGATTTTGCTATAACTTCCAGGGATGAACAACCTTAATGTGTAGATGGTAGTAAAGGAAGGAATTTTTGCTGTGACCAAATTTAAAAGAATTATGGCCCTTTGTTGATTTTTTCACTATATACTATGTAGAAATTTTGTGAACGCAACTCCTCTTAAACCGGATGGCAGATTTTGCTTAAACTTCCAGGGATGAACAACCTTAATGTGTAGATGGAAGTAAAGGAAGGAAATTTTGCTGCGACCAAATTTAACAGAATTATGGCCCTTTGTTGATTTTTCACTATATACCATATATATGTTGTCAGTGGGGGCATCCGTGTCCTTTGGACACAGTTCTAGTTTTAATGAGTCTCTACCCAAATTGAAAAATTCATACAAATTTGCATTCAGTGTATATTGAGCTCTTGTTAAATACATGTAAAGAACATTTTGTCACACACATGTACTATTGTATGGTTTAAAATGTTTAGGCATACACATTGAAAAAAGACGTATCTGTCTAAATAAAATTGATTCGAAATGCAATAGTAATCAGAATGAAAATATGAGCCAAAATGCTTAAAATCATTAAAATATTTTCTAGGCTGATACTTTAATATATTTCTATTTTTAGGACACTGCAGCAGCTGACAGCATGGTGTTGCTAGGTTACGAGGTCAGCAGGTTCACCGATGTAAGTGCAATATTGTTTCACGAATAGAGCAGATTTAGTGGCCGTGTGTGATTACATGTTTAAGAAAGATAACAAGTGATATGAAGTTATTGAAATACTTCAATTTATACTTTGGTGTGGATATGCCTAGTTTTGATTACTCAAACAAATTTACATTCAAGGCAATATTGTCCCGCCTTTGTGGTGCTCTTGTTTATTGAGTAAAATCTGCTCTGTGCAAAAAGTTAGTTTTATTTCATTTCATTTTAAAACTTTTATTTCATAACTTCGTATAACATAACTTGCAGTCAAAACATTAATGTGTTATTGTTGTTGTGTTTTTGCAACCTTGTGCAATAGTTTCTTTCTGATTTATTCTGAATCTTTTATAGGAACTCAAAGTTCAGAATGAGACTTTATGCTGTTTCTTTTTGTGTTGAAAAATGGATACAAATCTGACAATGTAAAATTTTATAATTTCAGTATTTTGAGGGTGTAGAAGCAGACTTACTATTCCAGCTATCTCATGCTAATACAGATCCAATTGTGTTCAGAACTGACAGTGCCACGGCCACAGAAAAGTAATTTATTTCTCTTAACTTTCAAGTTTTATTTAGAAATGATGGATGACCAGTTAATTGTACTAGTGATGTGATTAACATAAATAGTTGCATTTTAATTTGAAAGCGTTATTTTTTATTTTATAATTTTATATTTTTATAATAAAGATCAAGCTTTTGCTTTGCAAGTATTAAAAATAGTTATTTATATTAGTTAGGCAATGTGAAATGCAGCTATGTCTCATTTAATATCATTTAAATATTGTTATTTTGATGAAAACTTGAAGCGTATTTGAACCACTTTAAAAGGGGGCTTCCTTGAACTAACCAGTACTGAATACTGATGTCATATGATGTGTTAAGAGCCAGACACCATATTAACCAGTCAGCCGTCCCGTAACTCATTAAGTAATAAGATGATCAAAATATAAATGATTTATTAATAGTTGACCATTGTTTGTTGTAGATGGGTAACAGTGATGAGAGAGGCAACAGTTGCTTGACAACAATAATCAACAGACAGTTACCTGGTTACAATTAACAGTAGGCAGTTGCCTAGCAACAAGGTATAACAGACCTCAGTTTTGTGACATTAAAAAACAGGAATTGGCTTTGCAACAATAAAGTAAGGAAGAACAGTTGCTTGGCAACAATAATAATGTTCAGCATGGTAGTTTATTGACTAGAAATAAGTAGCAGTAATGCACCAGTTATTTGGCAGCAATGCCATACAAGTGCTTTTTGAACATGTTGAAGGAATTTTTTTATGACTGTTTTGTAAGAAATGAGATAACAAGATATTCGGCTGTAAACAATGAAAAGTGATAGCCTGAAGTTGTTTCATGATTATGACAGCGGTAGATGCTGTAAAACTAGAAAACCAGATTGATGTTATAGCAGTTTAAAATATTATATACATGTACATGTATGATTACAATAACCTTTTATCTTAACTAACCTAAATAAAGTGTTCCATATGTGCTTCACAACAAATCACAGGTTGTTTTACAAGAAATAATTAGACAACAATGTTTCCTTTGCTATAACCAGTGAAACAATCAACTGTATATGGCAATTATCATGAAATGGATTTAGAAACATGGCATATCCTTTGTGAACTTGTTAAACATTAAAACACTAAGTGTTTAGTGACGTTGACATGTTTGGTGTTCCATAACTTGGAAATAAGTACAATATATAGCAAATGAAGGACTGAGGTAGGATAATAAAGACAACATACTTATCTATTATATAATATTTCCAAGTTTGATGCTCTTATATTTTATAAATGGGCATTTTATAAACTATTGAAACAAAGCCTGGGAATCATTTTGTCAGTTATGAAAAATATACCACTGTTGTAAGGATATTTGAATGATGCATGGTGTTATTTACTAGGGGTATGATGGCAGGAGATTATTTGCCATAAATTAGAATCATTATTTATGTGTTAAGTATGACTTGGAAACACAAATGTTTACCAACCATATATACTATTGTTATATCTTTTATTGATTGTAAATAAATTTAGGTTGAATACATCTTCATGTACATATATTATGATTATTACACAAGTCAAAAGTTCATATATTAAAGTGTACTTTTATACAAAAGGAGTATATTTCAACAAGCATGTAACTTTGTGTGTATATATTTTTTTTCTATGGAGTACTTAATGAATAATGAAGTTAACTGTTAAGGCATTGAGGTCACATCTGAACTTTTGTATGATCTCCTACTTGCTTGAGATATGATTATAATAATTAAATTATATTGGGAAATTTCAAAATGTATGTACATTAACAAAGCAATATAGTATATAGCAGAGAGATATTTGTTAATATATTTGTATAATTTATATATTGTTTTGTTAAGATTTAATATTTCAATAATAATTTATGTAAGAGTTTCGACTTTTAGGGCTTGCATTAATCCAGAATAATCTGCCCTATTAAATGGCCTATAACTACACAAAAATGTTCAACAGGACCACATTGACTAGAAAAAGAGATGGTAGGAAATTTTTGGCAGCAATATTTTGAAGAACTTTAAGTGTTGGAAAAAATGGCAAAAATACCAATTGTTAATATTTAGGGAATCCTAGGTGTTTGTTAAGGGGATCCTAAAGGGTATTTAGAACTGTTTCTTCTGAGAATGTTCTGTTTTTGTAGTAATACGATCTGTTGCATTGAATAAACAATCACAGTTAAATTTGTATTCAGATTTTGTCACAATCAATTTAAATTCTATTTATTTTTTCACAAGTTTCTAAGAAGCTATAATGGTTGTGAAACAAAATGTGTGAATATTTTTCTGAATATTTTTCTTATTATAGTCATAAACTTAACCACATGAATTTTTTCATCATTATTAACTTTTTCTTAATAAAATGTCAATGCATGCATGCTTTCATAACAATGTAATAGTAAAAATACTCTACAATTTCAAAAATAAAATATACCTGTATAACAGCATATATAACCTAGGCCTAACCAAAAAGCGTCAGATATATATACATGTATATTTGAAATTTTTTCCACACATAACCATTCATTTTGTATAGTTTCTAATTTTCTTGAAGCATTTTTTTTCTTGTGTCTCACTCCATTCCAGTGATGTCAATTATTCTGCATAATTCATGTTTATATACATTTGTCATATACAGCATTTCAATGTTAAAACAACAAACAGCTATGTTTTATAGTGTGTGTATATATTTTGAGATACATGTATACAATGTAAAATTGTGAACAGATTACACACCCTGTGATATTGTCAAATGCTCTATTTATCCACTCTCATTTGTTCGTTCAGTTGACAAAAAAATCTTGCACCAAAAATTTCAAATTCTCAACTGCCTATATCTTTCGAAAGAAAGTAAATAGTTTTTGTTCTTGAAATCAGAATGTTAATCAGTGCAAGTGCTAGATTATGTGTACTATATACATTATAGAAAAAGAGCAATAAATGCATTGTCTTAAGTTATGTCAAACCACACTTAAGTTCTCTGCATATATACAGAGTTCAGTTGTTTAATATCAAGAAGATTTTTGTCCTGTTCAAAAAGATTTCTATGTTTTTTGGGGGGATTTTTTGTGGTATTGAGAAACTTTGTATTTGGATCAAGTTGTACATGTATTTTGTGTTAAATTTCTTAATAGTGCCATGTAGAAAATATGCCATCAGTCTGTTGGCCCTATTGATTGATACACAGTCTGTTGGCCTAATTGATTGATATACAGTTTGATGGCCTAATTGATTGATACAGTGTGTTGGCCTAATTGATTGATACAGTGTGTTGGCCTAATTGATTGATACAGTCTTTTGGCCTAATTGATTGATACAGTGTTTTGGCCTCATTAATTGATACCAAGTCTGTTGGCCTTCTTGATTGATACAGTCTGTTGGCATAATTAACTGATAAAATATTTTGATAAATTTTCTAATCCATTCCATTTAAAGCAATTCTTTCGTTTTTATGCGTGTACATCATAATGTTAACCTTGACATTTGCTCCTCTATGCAGTTTTATGTTTATGCTTGTATTTAGCTACATCACTGCTTGTAATGCATTAAATTAATTAGATTTTTATATGCTTTTTGTATTACAATTGTGATTGCTTGTAGTTTTGTTGATATATTTTTATAGAAAATTATGGAGACAAAATTGATACACAAAATGTCAAGCTTTTATATATATTTTTTTGTCACTTGGCCAAATTTTGGTGAAAGAGATGAAGCCTAAAATTTGATTTCTGACATTCTCAAAATAAGCTTATCATTGCATACCTCTTTATATTTTGAGGAATTTGATATTAGTAAGATCTACATTTGATTTCTGTGAAATGGTTCTACTACTTGGGGGCTTAGTGTGAAAAGGTCAAACAGTTTGAGGGCAGTGTGAATTATTCAAACCATTAAGGCCATGGACTGAAAAAATTAATCCATTTGAGGGAAATGTGTGAAAAGGTCAAACCATTTGAGGGCAGTGTGAACATATCAAACTATTTGAGGGCAAAGTGATAAAAGATCAAAATATGTTAGGGCAAAGTGTGAAAAAGTCTAACCATTTAAGGGCAAAGTGTGAAAATGTGAAAGCATTCAATGGCATATGGTGAAGAGTTCAAACCATTTGAGGGCAAAGTGTGAAAAGGTCAAACCATACGAGGGCGATTAATGAAAAAGTCAAACCATTAGAGGGTTAAGTGTGAAAAGGTCAAACCATTTGAGGGAATATAGTAAAATGTTCAAACCACTTGAGGGAAAGTGTAAAAAGGGCAAGCATTTGAGGGCTTGTTGTGATATGGTAGTACTTCCTTTTGGTTTTCTGTCCCACCTATAAACATTTTATATACTTATTTGGACATTTGTACCATTTTCTGAACTTTTGTAAATCTATATACATGTATACTTTGACTTCCATTTATGTAAATCTTTATTTTTTCCATGTTTATAAAATGAACATCCATTTTCCATATGTAAATAAATTTGCATTTATTTTTTTACATATGTTAATTTGTCATAGTGCAATATGTGTAAACTTTTGTTACTGTATAAACTTGTATAGATATATTGTTATTATATAAAAATTTGACCTTTGTATTTCTTCACCTTGTTAAAAACTCATTTTACACATTATCAGATTGGAGCTTCCACATTATAGATGAAATAAAAGGTATAATAGAGCAGATATTTCTTGTTTCGTTTTATTATTGCTTTTGTATTAAAACGCTCATCAAGAAAATATAACAAGAACAGGGCATTGACTGAGCATATTTGCCCTGAATGCAACTTTGGTCCCCTGATAAAGGTATTGTTTGTTCCAAATTGTATACATGTAATTGTTAGGTAAAGTAGCCAAATAACAAAGCTATATTCTAAAATTAATTTTTTATTTCAATACATGAACAACTTTCTAAATTGCCAAAAAATGTAATGATTTAATACGAAATTCATAAATCACATATAATATTATAATGATTACTATAATTACTGTCCACAGCAAAATATTTAAAAATTCTATGTATCAGCAAGAACTCAAAGTATTCTGCAGTTTCTCAACTTTGTGAGATTTCTTTTATCCTGAAACTTAGCTTCTAACATGTTTGTATATAAATGTGTTAGTTTCTTTAATGATAATCCTTAATATTTATTTTGGGCAGTACATTTATTAAATTTCAAATAAGCATTGTGACTGGAAACCTCAACCATATAATCCTATCAATATTTCCACAAGATATTCAATAATTGTTCTCCAGAATAAAATGATGTTAGAAATGCTCGTCAAAATTGTAAGAATCACCACCTGCATCATTATTGTCCATTGAAAAAGCAGACGTCAATGCATCTGATAATTCCCCGGCAACACGATCTGAAACAACAACAAACCAGGTTACAGCAAATAACTTGAACGAATACATGTTACCTTGGAAACTTAAGACCTATTATGTTGGTATCACAATTTAACATTTAGCTTATATAGAATTTATTTTAATAAAATAAAAATTAAGAAATACAACACATCAATACCATTGCAATAATTGAATAGTCAACTGGTTTTGGTTCTTACAAACTTTCATCTGGATAAACATTTTACAAAATATTCGAGTTTTAGAATTTTAGTTCCCTTGTTTAGGAAACTATAAGCTTTTAAACACACTCTTGAATCCATTTCTGGAACAAATCAGTACTAAGCAATGAATGTAAAGTTTCTTGCTTAAGGGCACAATGGCTTGCCCTTGATAGGGTTTAAACCCACATAGCTAGCGATCCTTAGATTACTAGTTTGATGTGTTAACCACTTGGTCATGCCACCACTCTATTTAATAAGTTTAATCAATTACATTTTCTTTGAATCAGATCACCTGCCATGGTTAAGCTTTAGAATTAACCAATCATTTCCATAGACTGAATAGGTGTAGAGGACTTTTCAAACTTAGAATTTCAAACTTTCCATTCCTTAAATTAAACAATAAACTTGATCATTATAGTCAGACAATTTAGAAGTTCAGGCTGATAGATCTTTGTAATGTAAAATCATGCCAGTCTTTATTTTTACACAGCAAATAGCATTTTAACAAAGATTGGCTTCTTCAATATACATGTGTATATAAATGTATAATTTATTTTCCTACACTTACCCCTCCTTCGCCTTTGTTTCTTCATCTTCTTAAAGTCCATTTTCTTTGCTTTATTTAATTGTGGTAAACCAGGGTTAAGATTACTAGACTTTGTGCTTGCAGTTGTTGATGTTTTACTTGATGTTGTACTACTGTCTGTATTCTTACGAGATCTCGGTGCACTTTTTGGTAGAGAAACAGTAACTGTTTCCATCTGCAAGACAGTAGGGAAAATTCAATATTCTTAAACTTGTCAAGGAAAAGAATAACATAAACACATTTCTATAATCTTGTTTCAGACTCATAAATAAAAACATTTTCAGTGTCAAAGCTATCAAGGATTATCTAATCTTGTTCAGACTCATAAATAAACAAGAACGTGTTTGTTAAACACAAATGCCCCCGGCTCAGATTCTTGTCAGTAGCAATACTTCAAAAAATGTTTACCCATTCACTCAGTTATGGACAGAAAAATCGCCAAAATATTGTAAACACAAGTTTTATAGCTTGACAAAGTCATGGCATTTTGTAATTGTGAAAAAAATATAAGTTTGCCAAGTCATTGCTCTGAACTTGTGAAGTTGAAAAATATTCAACTTCATGCAAGTTATCTTTTCCTACCAAATATGAAATACATCTGTCATTAAATAAAGGCTGTATGGGCAAAAGTGTAAAAATCTATTTTTGAGCACTGGTGACCTTGACCAAACTGACCCCTGACTCTATCCAAAAGAAGAATACCATGTAAGTTATCTTCCTACCAAATATGAAATACATCTGTCAACAAGATATGTTTGTAAAACATGTATGCCCCCTATCAGTAGCCAATTAGTCATGTGATAAGGTTATTATGCATGACTTCTGACCCAGTGATCAAACAATTAATAAGGGTTATCAAGTATCTACTGTCATGACCTTAACCTTTGACCCCTTGACCCAAAACTCAAATAGGGGTCATCTGCTGGTCACGACAAATCATCATTACAAAGTTTTGAAGTTCCTAGGCCTAAGCGTTTTTAGGTTAATTGATCAGAAACCGTTTTTTACCTACAAGGTCAATGTGACCTTAACCTTTGACCCCTTGACCCCAAAATCAATAGGTCCTCTGCTGGTCATGACCAATCACCATACCAAGTTTGAAGTTCCTAGGCCTAAGGATTCTTTAGTTATTGATCGGAAAGCGTTTTAACATACAAGGTCAATGTGACCTTGACCTTTGACCCCAAAATCAATAGGGGTCATCTGCTGCTCATGACCAATCACCATGCCAAGTTTGAAGTTCCTAGGCCGAAGCGTTCTTTAGTTATTGATCAGAAACCGTTTTTACTTTACAATGTCAATGTGACCTTGACCTTTGACCCCTTTGATCCCAAAATCAATAGGAGTAATCTGCTGGTCATGACAAATCACCATACCAAGTTTGAAGTTCCTAGGCCTAAGCGTTCTTAAGTTATTGATCAGAAAACCGTTTTTAACTTACAAGGTCAATGTGACCTTGACCTTTGAACCCCTTGACCCAAAACTCAATAGGGGTCATCTGCTGGTCACGACCAATCATCATACAAAGTTTTGAAAGTCCTAGGCCTAAGCGTTTTTAGTTAATTGATCGGAAACCGTTTTTACCATTACAAGGTCAATGTGACCTTGACCTTTGACCCCTTGACCCCAAAATCAATAGGTCATCTGCTGGTCATGACCAATCACCATACCAAGTTTGAAGTTCCTTGGCCTAAGGGTTCTTAAGTTATTGATTGGAAAGCATTTTTACCTTTCCAAGGTCAAAGTGACCTTGCCCCCTTTTACCATTTTCCCAAATATCAAAAGGGGGGCCCTCTTTTGGGCATGACCAATCACTTTTTAAACCCAAATTTTTAAAATTTTTTAAAGGGCTAAGGGGTTTTTTTAGTTTATTTGGGGGTCGGGGAAAAAATTTTTTTACCTAAAAAAGGTCAATGTTTACCTTGACCTTTTACCCCCTTTACCCCCAAAAACTATAGGGGTCCCCCTCTACTGAAAACATGACCAAAACACCATTATCAAGTTTTTAAATCCCCAGGCCTAAGGGTTCTTTCTTATTGTTTGGAAAAACCCTTTTTTAAAACCCCAAGAGGTCAATTTTGACCCTTTAGCTTTGGAACCCCCCTTTAAACCCCCAAAAAAAATAGCGGGTTATTCTACCCCGAAACATTTACCCAAACAATAACCAAAATTTAAGTTCCTAGGCCTTAAAGTTCTTTAGTTATTGATCGGAAACCGTTTTTTGCTTACCAAGGTCAAATGTGATCTTGACCTTTGACCCCTTGACCCCAAAATCAATAGGGGACATCTACTGATCATGACCAATCACCATACCAAGTTTGAAGTTCCTAGGCCTTAAAGTTCTTTAGTTATTGATCTGAAACCGTTTTTGCTTACAAGGTCAATGTGACCTTGACCTTTGACCCCTTGACCCCAAAATCAATAGGGTTCATCTACTGGTCATGACCAATCACCATACCAAGTTTGAAGTTCCTAGGCCTAAGGGTTCTTTAGTTATCACTCGGAAACCATTTGGTCTACGGACCGACGGACCGACAGACCGACGGACCGACAAGTGCAAAGCAATATACCCCCTTTTCTTCGAAATGGGGGCATAATAAATAAAGGCTGTAAGGGCAAAAGTGTAAAAATATATTTTTAGCACTTGTGACCTTGACCCAACTGACCCCTTACTCCATCCAAAGGTAGAATACCATGCAAGTTATCTTCCTACCAAATATGAAATACAACTGTCAATAAATAAAAGCTGTATGGGCAAAAGTGTAAAAATCTATTTTTAGCACAAGTGACCTGGACCCACTGATCCCTACCCCAATCAAAAGGATGAAAACCATGCAAGTTATCTTCCTACCAAATATAAAATATATCTGTCACTTAATAAAGGCTGTATGAGCAAATGTGTAAAAATCTATTTTTAGCACTGGTGACCTTGACCCAACTGACCACTAACTCCATCAAAGTTTATGTTTCTATCAATTATAAATAACATCTGTCTATAGAATAAGGTCAATACACCTGTAACAAGAGCCACCGCCGGGCGGGGGCAACGCTCGACTTTTTACTTTTTCTAAACGCAAACATAGAAAGGTTTGAACATATCTTAACGTTTCCTTTTTATAAATTAAGTTGGTCTGTCTTGTCACATTAGTTTTATTTATCTATTTTGTACATATATATATATGTGAATAGAAACACTCAATTCTATAAATAGAAACACACAACTCTATAAATAGTAACAAGCAATTCTATAAATAGAAACACGCAATTCTAAAAATAGTAACACGCAATTCTATAAATAGTAACACGCAATTCTATGAATAGGAACACGCAATTCTATAAATAGAAACACGCAATTCTAAAAATAGTAACACCCAATTCTATAAATAGAACACGCAATTCTAAAAATAGAAACACTCAATTCTATAAATAGAAACATGCAATTCTAAAAATAGTAACACGCAATTCTATAAATAGTAACACGCAATTCTATAAATAGAAACACGCAATTCTATAAATAGAAACACGCAATTCTAAAAATAGTAACACGCAATTCTAAAAAATAGAAACATGCAATTCTAAAAATAGTAACACGCAATTCTAAAAAAATAGAAACACGCAATTCTAAAAATAGTAACACGCAATTTCTAAAAAAAGTAACACGTTATTCTAAAAATAGAAACACGCAATTCTAAAAATAGAAACACGCAATTCTATAAATAGAAACAAGCAATTCTATAAATAGAAACACGCAATTCTAAAAATAGTAACACGCAATTCTATAAATAGTAACACGCAATTCTATAAATAGAAACACGCAATTCTAAAAATAGTAACACGCAATTCTAAAAATAGTAACACGCAATTCTAAAAATAGTAACACGCAATTTCTAAAAATAGTAACACGCAATTCTAAAAATAGAAACACGCAATTCTAAAAATAGAAACACGCAATTCTAAAAATAGAAACACGCAATTCTATAAATAGAAACACGCAATTCTAAAAATAGAAACACGCAATTCTATAAATAGTAACACGCAATTCTAAAAATAGTAACACGCAATTCTAAAAATAGTAACACGCAATTCTAAAAATAGTAACACGCAATTCTATAAATAGTAACACGCAATTCTAACTAGAACTGCCACTATCTTGGCGTGAATACCCCCGCATACCACTTTGTCAGAATCAACAGTGGCCATTTAGAGCGCAAGGACAACCTCCCTGCCAAATCTGAGGTTACTAAGCCAGTGCATTGCTAAGTTATGTATTCTACATGCTTCAAATGTGAAAATGTCAAAATCAATACATTGCAGACAGGACATTCTTTAGCAATTGAGAAGAAAAGCTTTTTTTTTTGTCAAGGTCCCTGTGACCTTGAACTTTGACCCAGTGACCTCAAAATCAATAGGGGTCACCTTATAGTCATGATCAACATCCATGCCAAATTTGAAGACTGTGGGTCAAAGGAATCTTAAGTTAATGGGTGGACAAACTTTTTGAAGTCAAAGTCCCTATGACCTTGACCTTTGATCCAGTGACCTCAAAATCAAAAGGGGTCATCTACTAATCATGACTAACCTCCATTCCAAATATGAAGACTGTGGGTCATAGGAATCTTAAGTTATTGGGCGGAACAAGCTTTTTGAAGTCAAGGCCCCTGTGACCTTGACCTTTGACCTGGTGACCTCAAATCAATAGGGTCATCTACTAATCATGACTAAACCTCCATGCCAAATATAACGACTGTGGGTCAAAGGAATCTTAAGTTATTGGGCGGACAAACTTTTTGAAGTCAAAGCCCTGTGACCTTGACCTTTGACCTAGTGACCTCAAAATCAATAGGGGTCATCTACTAATCATGACTAACCTCCATGCCAAATATGACGACTGTAGGTCAAAGGAATCTAAGTTATTGGGGCGGACAAGCTTTTAAAGTCAAGGCCCCTGTGACCTTGACCTTTGACCTAGTGACCTCAAAATCAATAGGGGTCATCTACTTATCATGACTAACCTCCATGCCAAATATGACGACTGTAGGTCAAAGGAATCTTAAGTTATTGGGGCGGACAAGCTTTTTGAAGTCAAGGCCCCTGTGACCTTGACCTTTTTGACCTAGTGACCTCAAAATCAATAGGGGTCATCTACTAATCATGACTAACCTCCATGCCAAATAT